TATTTATATATTTATTTCAATGGTAGTGAGGAAAGCCTATTGTGATCCACACTCCATATCAGAAGGTGGCGGTAATGTGCACTTGAAAGTTGTTTGCCAACCGCCATTAAAAGAAAAAAGAAGAAGAAGAAGAAATACCAAATTCAAAAACATACATGACAGTGTGCTAGACTTGTGTTGAGTAATACATATGTAAATGTGTTTTTTCTTGTTAATATTGAAATTTCAGGTAAAAACTGGGTGAGGATTGATCAACCTCTTCCTGTGCCCACACTGGTTTCAGAGGTCAAAGAGCTGTCAGCAATGAAAGGTATGAGCAATGAGATGAAAACCAATGAACAGTTTCACCGTTTGTATCACTCCACTTACAGTATTTCTCACAGTGAGTGTCTTGGCGGGAGAGCAAACCCACTACAATTTTATAAATAGGACTATACGTTTTTAGGCTAAACTGTAGTTGTTTAAACTTCACATGTGTAGTTTATTAATAAAGATAGTGCCTATCTAAAAATTTGCTTCAATGTTTTCAGAGAAACGAGCCGGCCGCTCAACGCTCATGTACCCGCCGTGAACAGCCTTACCTCTGCCAGTTCTTCTGTAATTTGCCACTAATGTCCCTATAGTGGTTAAATATGAGATATAATTCGTTTTGGGTATGTCTACTGGGCGATCTTTGGTCTCATTAATGTATTATTTGTTTTGGCTGAGAGCAACGTTTCAGATCTATATATTTTTATATAACTTCAATACTTTTGACTGAATTGCCTAGCGACTTTTATAATGGCGATTTTTGTTTACTACATATTATCGACCGTTCAATAAATATTATTTTATAGAAATAATAGTAGTATTTAATAATAGTATTTGGTATTGAGAAATGTTCTGTTTTTGTGTTGGTTATTTTGACTTCAGTGCAGGTTAGTTTGCAACAAGATCAAGTCTTTATTGGTAAATCATTAGCAAAGACCTTTGTGGTTAAGACCTTAACACCTTGTAAGACGCAACCAAATTGACAAGAGTTGTCATGTGAAATCTCCCCCATGTGAAATTTGAAAGGACACTAAGACAAAGATATCACTTTCCTTGGCGTATTATGAATATGAGATTGACCAGAATTAATGCTGTATCAGATGCAGGTAATCACACTCGCTCATTCGATCTCTCTCTCTCATAATACTCTTCATGATTCATGGGTTCACGGGTTCACACCCAGTACACCCCAGTGGTGAACAATTGAAATTTGGAAACGTTTCGAAACAGTGATGACGTATTAAAGCCTCATTTACTGCAATCAGGGCACTTTGGCAGTTTGATACACACCCCAAACCACTGATTCGAAACAAGATTCGTAAAGGTTTCGAAGCTTGCAGTGTTTCAAAATCATCCATCTCTACTCATGTGATATATTACCTACTTTTAGCTAAATACATTTAAAACTTCTGTGGCAGCTTTGGCCTCACATTCCTCACCATTTTTTTTCAAATTGCTTTGCAGTTTTGTCTTAGTGTGTGCACCAAAAAGGTGGCTGATCTCAAATGAACACATCTGTGTGCGTGTCAGTCTAGAGAGAATATACAGTCCCTGGAGCACTAGAGCAAACTACCAAGGGAACGCATATGCCCATTGGTATGCATGTAAGTTTTTGCAGGCCGTGTTCACGTAGACTGACAGGCAGATTGACTGTCTTTAAGTCACGGTCAGCCTGCATCATAAGTTTCTTGGACTGGACCGTGTTCAACTGTCGGTTAAAGGTGCATGATCAGTTTCATCACTATTTTTTAGGAAAACGTCTGCGGAATTAGTGCCTTACCTCGTGGGTATAAAGGAGGACGCCGGTGTGTTGGTGTGACGGCGATCTGCAGCGAGTTCACATTGCCTGCTGGTCTGTGCAGTGATCTGCCACAGTGAGTGTGTTTCTCCCTGCTCGATTCAACATCGCAGAGTTTTTTTTTCAGAGTCTTTTTAAATACGGCTCGCCCTCCGATCTAAGGCCGTGTGTCCACCAAAGCGTTTTTAGCCAGCTGAAAACGCTAGACGCTCTGCTGAAGACGCTGTGCTTTGGGCGCTTGAGAGCGTTTGGCAGCTCAGCGTTTTTTCCGTTGAGACGTTTCGTTGCTATGATACAAAATATCCGCAGCAGTTGAATGTTGTGACAGTTGGTCGGTGTGGTATTAGTCCCGCCCCTCCTCTACTGTGATTGGACGTCTGGGTAAAAAGTGACAGTGATGAGCACTGCGTTTTATCCAAAGTTGAACATTTTTCAACTCCCAGCGCTGGGCACTCGGCGCTTCAGCATGAAAAAAACGCTCATTGCCTCGGTACGCTCATGGCGTTTAAAAAACGTGGCGCTCCCATTGAAAACAATCGAAAAAATACGCCAGGCGCGTGGAAAAATGCTTTGGTGGACACACGGCCTAACACTCTCCACGTGGGGTGCTACTTCGGCTGGTGGCCAGGGTCACCTGAGGGTGAGAGTGTGGAACAAACCACCGACTGTTTGTCCGTGGACCACGGCCCCCTCTTCAGTGACACAACCCGCGAGTGTTCAGGGAATTCCCCGGGTCTATTTTCGGATGCTCCGCATGTTTCCCTTGGCTCTCCAGAATCGGATCTGTTGTCCATCACAGCATCACAGGGTGGGCTAGAATCTTCAGGAAGTGAAGACTCACTTACCCCAGCAAGACACCTAACCCCAGCTGCTCCCGACGAGCTGGATGGCGCCTTGCATGGCTGATACCGCCGTCGGTGTATGAATGAGTGAGTGAATGGGTGAATGTGAGGCTATAGCCCCTTTCACACAGAGATTCCAGAAAATACACGGATAATGTGACCCAGCATTTGTCCCGGAATTGTTTGATGTCGGTTCATTCACACTGCCACTGATTTGCCGGGATCTGTGAGTGCGTTCACACACAACACGTAAAAATCCCGGGAAGACACATGACGTCATAACGGACGCGTCAAACATGTAAACGCGCATACCGTACACGCGCTGTTGAACGATCTCAGCTTCAGTACGGATAGTGAGGAGCTCCTGGTCTCTGCTTCGCTCCAGTTTGCAGGTATTTGTTCGTCCTTTCTTTGTTGATGACGAACACAAACTTTCTTCTAGAGCAACAGAGTCGTGCGATGGCACGAGCGTCATCACTATGACACACTCTTTACGGCATTGGTCCTGGCTTTTGTTCACACAGCGCGCGTTCCGGGACTGATTCCGGCAATGTTACTAGGTCAATTCCAGAATCAATCCCAGGTCGTGTTCGCGTTCACACAGAAGGCGTTCTGGTAATTTGCCGGAAATTTTACCAAGATTCGACAGTGCTGCAACTTTCGGGTGTGCATATGGCATTTGTCGAGTCAGATCCTGAGATGACGGCCATGCTTTCCCGGGCCGCGGCGAGCATCGGACTAGAGCGGAACCTTTCACCCTGTCCTGAACGCTCGCTGCTGGACGTTTGGTTTTTTGGTGTGGCCGCTGACTCTTGTCAGCAACCACTCCAATACCTTTTTTCCCGGATTTGCATCAGGAGATCTCTTCCAGCGATCCCTTGTTGATCTCCTCCGCCCTTCCTTCCCTCGACGGGGCCACTGCCCATGGGTACACTGGGGTCCCCCCGGTTGAACGCTCTGTTGCAATGCTACTGTGTCCTCAGAGTGTTTCTTCTCGGCGCGATCCTAAGCACCCATCCGAAGCCTGCAGTTTTTCGTCTACACTTGTGGCGAAATCCTATAGTGCTACAGGACAGGCAGCCGCCTCACTGCATGCCATGGCCATTCTGCTGGGTCTACCAGACCCAAATGCTCACAGACATGCACGAGGGCGGGACTGACCCAGGGCTCTTCAATGAGCTGCACACCACCACTGACCAGTGGCGCCAGTGACGAAAGTGGCCGTACGCTCCCTGGGTCAGGTGATGCCCACCATTCTGTGGCTGAACTTGTTCCGATGCACAGAATGGCGGGCAGACCCATTTGCTTGACACCCCCACATCGGCGGTGAGGTTTAGAGCTTTGCACAACAGTTCTCAACCACCAGCGAGCAGACTGAGGCTTATTCTGCGCCGACGGCCCCTCCTGCGGACGCCACAGCCCTCTCCAGCCCCGCCCACCGCCCAACGCCGGGTTAAGTGCCACTCTTGAGATGGGCTGCTCAGAGATGGGACTCTTTCCAGGAGCTGGTAGCAGGGCCACTCCTTCACCTGGTGGAGGACAGTCGTCCCCGAGCCGAGGACAGTGCGTGAATTAGCATTTCTTTGCCATTTCTTTGCCAAGGTTTCTAAGCGAAACCCCATTCGTCGTCATCCAACATAACGTCTCCGTTCCCTACTCAGGTAACGGAGACGTTCTGTATGTTGCGCAATAAGGGAAAAAAACGAAAAAAAGGTCAGATTAACGACTGATGTTTTGAGGTTTGGTTGTTCTGTATATATCAATATAATTAACTCTTGTGTTGTCTGGAGCTGACTGCAGCCCAACTGTCTCTTCCAGTCGATCGGTCACAGACTTCACAGATACAACAGGTGTTTCTAATTTTTTGCATCATGGATGATTTAAGAGCATCTGCTCACAGGCATGCGTAGGGCAGATTTGCAGTTTGTCTTTGTGTGCTTGCTGAACTTACATCTGTAAGGGGTTCATATCTTCACGCAAGTATAGCAAGCATTTTAGGGCTGAACTGTGAATATATTGAAAGTTAAAAGTGTGAAAATGATCTGCTGGGATCACATGGTTTTTAGCCGCCCGTTTCTTGGATGCAGTCCAGCACTGAGGTCCAACTTGTAAGTGTTGTTTATTTGACTAGGATGACTAAATACTCTCTGTATTCATAGTGCCTATACATGTTGGAACACAACACTCAGCTTTGCCATTTCAAAACCTCATATTTTCCTTGTTTAGATGAAGTTTCAAGATTAAGAATCTTCATAATACATTTCTTACCACAAGTGATGGGATTTCTTTATATGGTTGTTTACTGAGATGGCTTTTTCCAATAATCCTATCTTCAGAAATCTGCCTGTTAATTGTTTTCAGGATTTTCATGGTCATGGAAATATTCAGCTATTTTAAAATTGCGTTTTTTTAAGCCAGGAAAACTCATGAACAATCTTAAAGGGATATGGAAATGGCATTGAATTTTTTTTTTATCATGAATATATATTTTTGTAGTTCCCCAGGACTAAAATAGAATTGCTCTTTGTGATTGAAATTTCTTTCAAAAACTCTTTCCTAATAATCATATCTTCAAAAATGCGCCTGTTATTTGTTTTTAGGATTTCCATGGTCATGGAAACATCAAGCAATTTGAAATGGTGATTTCCTGGCTTGGAAAACCAGATAATTAGTAATACCTGTAAAGATCATGGAAATGGCATGGGAATTTCTATTACGTAGATCTAAAATATAACTGCTCTTTGTCAGTGAAATTTCTATTTATTTATTTATTTTTAATCCCTATCCAGTAATCATGAACAACTGGAAAAATCATGGGAGTACAGTGCTCAAAAAGTAGGGGGGGAAAGTGTTGGAATGTTTATGTGTTTTCCCCCTTATTACTCAACTTTATACATCATTCAATTTGTTAATTTCCTAGATAATATTTTTCAATGCAACATATAGTGAATAGAGTTATATTTTCTTTAATGAAATCCCTGCAGAATCAAACCCATTGTGGCACTAGCTTTATGTAAGTTTAGCAGTAATTGTCCGTCAAGTGTGTAATTAGGCATATTTGTTTCTGTATTACAGAAGCAGGCCAGACGAAATGTCGGACTGAGAGGATTCAGGCTCTGGAACAAGCCAAGAGGCCACAGGAATCCATTTTTATCCCAGAATGCAATGACGACGGAACATTTGCCCAGGTCCGACAGAGTCCCGGCCGACGAATCCATAAGCAAATCTATCTAGTGGACAAATTAGCCTTCTAACATCTTCCCCAGCCTTGATAGGATTCCAAAAAAATTGCACTTCGCTGTGTTTCTCATCAGCCCGGCTGCTTTGGGAATCTGAATGGAAAGTGTACATTAAATCGCATTTATAGACTCGCAGCCTCTATTTCACCTGCGCCTTTGCTTTGTTAAACAGCGATCATCCAGTCCGCCTAAGCTTTTAATGCCTCATCGTTTATGAGGGTCGTTTTTCACTCTGAATAATTGAATTCCCCCAGCGGAAGCGCCGGGACGTTTCGTGCGGGTCGTCCAGGAGATACAAGAGCAGTTACTGGAATTTCCTCTCACCTCTCTCCGTCTGTATCTCCTCCAGGTCCAGTGTCACACTCTCACAGGATACTGCTGGTGCGTGACCACAGATGGCAAGCCAGTCAGCGGTTCCTCTGTCCAGAACAAAACGCCAGTGTGTTCAGGTACTGTATGTATGCAGATTTTATCTCTAGACTGTTTGCTTGGATTATCGCTTTGTGTTTAGGTCGTGCTGAAAAGCAGAACCGCTAAACCATCAGGTGCCTCGGTCAAGAAGCTGTGCCTGTAGTCCATCACTTTCAAAGCCAGTAGACTTTGTTTGATTTAAATTGTGCTCTTTGTTTTGATGGAGTCAGCGTGATGTTAAACTCTAGCCACCGCTCTGTTTAGTTTACTTCTACTGTGTTTGTGCATGGAACTGAGAGGTGATGGATAATATCCTGCAGGACTTGCGCCGACTCATCCATTTTTCTTTTCTCTGCTTTATGGTTTCTTCTTTTCTCTCTTTCTGTCTCTTTCCAAATTCACACTCCATCAATCTCTGTCTTCATCCGTTTCATTCTCTACAGTTTTTCCTTCTTCTCAAACATTGCTTTCTCGTTCTCTTTTTCATTGTATAACTGCTTTCTTTCAGCGGACGGTTGGAACGAGGGAGCTTTTCTCTTCGTAAATGAATGGGAACACTTTGCTCAAATCTGTTGGAGATAACACCACCGAATTCACTCCTGCCAGAATTCATTTAAATAGTAAATCGGATTATTTCGAATTTTATTCTTATACATGCACGTGTTGTTTTGAAAATACTGAATGAAAAGTGTTCATGTTGCTACATAAAAACATCTGAAACGTCGATGTATTTGACAAATACTTGGCTCTGACTTGACGCCTCCGTTTTCAACTCCTCCCCCGACTGTTATTATATCGAGTCACTCAAATAAACAGCAATATTTTGTGAACATCACATGGAGTTGTGGAAGTAGACATACTACTCTCCAAAAATTGCCTGCCCTACCTTTTAACCCCCCCAAAAAATTTCAGAACGATGGAATTTCAGAGCGATAGAACCAGAAGTGCTTACATGCTAACTCATTTCTAGGTTTTGGCCTAAAAAAAATGCGCCATCTCTGCAGCCTTCTATATTACCAAAGTTTTGTAACTTTTTTTTTTTTATAACATCTGATTCGACTCTCAATGTTTTTCATTTTGTTTACACTAATTTGATTGAATTGCAGAGGAAATGTTTATATTTTGGGGGATGAGAACTGGAAGGCACTTGCTAGATGCTGTTCGGTAATGATAACACTTTAGCTCACAACTGTTTAGCATTACATCATTTGCTGTTTCACATACTAGTTTTTAAAATTAATAGACTGTGTACTGTGTAAACTGTGCTTCAGTTCATATGTGTGTATTAAATCCTTACTTATAGTTGTCTCTGCACATTTAGCTGGAAATGTTGAAAGTATTTCTGTCCAGTAATTGTTTAATACGTTTCTCGGTTTTCTTCCTGCTGCTTGTTGTCCTGCATATGATCCTGTTATTGTATTACTGTTTCTTTCAAAGGTAAAGGATTCACTTTTAGGTGCCATATATATATATATATATATGAAGAGTTCAGATGCAAAAGCCTCTAAATGCCATTTGAAATTTTTTTCTTTAATGATGATTTTCATCAAGCTTGTATATTTAAGTTCAGTAATTTCACTTAAATAACAATTAATAGGTAATTATCATTGCCATTTAAGTGAAATCACTGAACTTAAATATACAAGCTTGATAAAAATGATCATTCTAGAAGAAAATTTCAAATGGCACTTAGAGGCTTTTGCATCTGAACTCTTCATATATATATATATATATATATATATATATATATATATATATTTATATATATATTTATTTATTATTATTATATTTTTTTTGCAATAACGTCACACTCCGATGTATTCTCTTGTCTCAACATTGGCTCAATGTTCTAAATTTCATGAATGCTCAAAAGTCCTGTCCCAGAAATGAGTGAATCCCATGAATCACCACTTAAGTGAAATGTCTTGCACACGTTTGCAGGAAACTTCCGTGAATTTATGGGAACTCATGCTGGGACAAGTGGATTGTCAGGTAGTAAATTTCATTCCAAATCGCCCTTTTGTTCAAAGTTCTCCTTCTTTCCATCATTTGCATATTTTGACTGTCTAATCTTGAACTTACGCATGCCTTCAATCCTGAGCATTTGCACGTACTTGGATCACTGTGATTGATGATTGTTTGTGCACACAGTAACTATCCTCTCCTCGATGTATTTTATCTGTTTCATGTCACATTAAACTGTGTTTTATGTATGGATATTAAATCCTGGAGATCTATCTAGCTGCAGAATTTTGCTTCAACACTAATCAAACACAACAGAACAATCCTTACACTGCATGAAAAACATACTATAGAGCCATTCCAATCAGAAGTGCTTAAAATCTGGTGTGTTAGAACAAGGTTGGGAATATATTCTGCAGGAAGGTATGTCTACAGTACCATTTTCAATAACAGTAAATAATAATAATGGTTGTAATAATTGTAATAATATTTCTCTGTAAACGTGCGCATGTGGTTCCGGTATTCCCAAAATGTCCCCACAAAGATGGCAATTTTCAATGTTTTGGTCCCAATGAGGAAAACAACTTATAAATCATGCTTAGTGATGTTTTTTGAAAATGTAAAAATGCGGATGGTTTTCTGTGATGGTAGGTTTAGGTTTACGATTATGGGATAGAATATGAAGTTTTTACAGTATAATAAACTATAATAATTATGTCTATGGAAAGTCGTGGAAACGTGTGTGTGTATATGCATTTGTGTGCGTGCGTGCGTCTGCTTTATTTCTTTTTGGTATCCATAATGAATGAACGCAGACCAACACATGGAATAATTTAAGGGATTGGCATTACAGGAAACTTAATTTGTAGATAATAACATTTCAACACATTTTGAAGTGAAAAATGTGGTTTCACAGTGGTTTAGTGGTTATGTTCTTTTGGGGTGAGTCTTTTAACTTTTTTTTTTTCTTGAGCTGTTCACTGTTTCCCCCATTTGTGTAAGTTAGGATGCACAGTTGTCACTCACATTTTGTATTCTTTTGTATCGGACTTTCCAAAGTGCATGCTGTGTTGCAAACATATTTAACCTGTCCTCCCAAAGTGAGGTGGTTACTGCACTGCATTTCAAAAGCTGAGTAAACATTCTGCTCTCTCTTTAAAGGGTCAGTAACCGATAAGCCACCGGGACCTCCAAGCTCGGGCAAAAAAGGTGAGTTGAGATTCGCAGAAATGTGAGTGTGTGTACTTTCGTATGAGAGATATTGAAAACTAACAAATCAGAAGGATGCCATACTGCAACGCCACTAAACTCTCTATTTTGTGTCTCCTTATGTACGATTAAATGTGTTTCCGCACATTTAAATAGATTTGCCTCATGTTTCTCTGACACGCTCATTTGGCCCTTTTTCTGTCAAGCTTTTACTTCAGACTTCAGTTTCTTGAAGGACCGTAAAGGATGAAACCCTACTCCAGTTGTTCTGTTTAACAGCCAGTGTAAGAACTTAGCACACATCAAAGACTGGGCTCTGTTACAGCAGTGAAATCTCAAACAGCTAATATAGATGTTAACAGCAGAAACGGCAGACACATACTTTTCTGGGCCTTAACTCAGCAAAGCCAGATTGTCATTTACAGGCCTCGAGGGTGGCGTATAGGGGTTTGAGAGTGCGTTTAGGTTTGAACCACTGGGGTGGGAGATGGTTGGTAGGGTTTGGGAATGGAGTTTGCCTCTGTTTTTTCAGATCTTGTTTCACCTCTTCGGCACTGGGCTGTACTCAAGACAAAGTGCATGTGCACCAGATGTTTATGTCACCAGCAGGTGGAAGGCTGTACGTGAGTCTTTTGCAATCAGCCCTATAGAGATCACTGTGGGGTTTCAAAAATATAAATGCCATTCACACTCTTGATAGTGCAATTGACATTTACACTTTTTAAGAAAGACCTACAATGAGCTCTCAAAACTAGGGTACAAAATAGCCTATTACTTATTCTGATTTTGATGTTTTTTTGTGTAAAAACCAAGCGAAAGTCATAATTTGACCTCAGACAACAATATAAAAAATGTAAAAAGCCAGCTCATAACCCCTTTAAATGGATAGTTCTACCAAAAAAATGAAAACTCTATAAATCCCCCCCCCCCCCCGCCCCCCCGCAAAACAAAAGGTATTTGATTGTTTGAAATATCCAATAAAGGCACAATATTGCAAACTTGTGAACGCAATATTGTGCCTTTTGCATTATTATTTTTTTTTTGTCCTTATCTTTTTTTTGTTTTTTATCTTGAAACTTCTTTTCTTTTTTTATTGGTCACTGTTGCTCTCAATAACTCAGATGTTTAAATATCAAAAAAATGTTTTTGACTATAAAAACAATCAATCAACAACTAAGAATTGGCTTTTAAATTTATAGTTCGTTTTATTACTACTGCCATTATCTTTCTCAATGACCCTTGTTTATATAAAAGACTGAATAATAAAATTCAGTTTCAGGACATGTACTTATTTTGCAGAGATTTTAAATACAAAAATTGTGGACAGGGGAAATTACAATAACTTTGGCTGTAATTCAGTTCAGTGAACTACATGTATTTAAACTGGTTTTCGCTGCCACCTTATTGTGGCTTTGGCCCATCCACTGCCAGGGCCTACAATGATGTGAGCCACACGGAAATCACCCAGAATGCAATAGAACATAAGTGGGTAAGTACTGTAGGACGTTTGGCATTTCTCCATTATCATGACACTTTTGACTGAGTGTGTTAAATTATCTACAATTGCTTGTTTATACACAATTGTATTACTATTCTAAACAGTAATGCATATGAAAGCTAATTTACGCATTCTGAGATGTGTGTGTGTGTCTGTTCTTGAGTGGATGAATACTCTTATTTATCTGTGTTTTCTGACTTGTATTTTCTCTCTTTGTACCCTCTATCCCTCACCCACTTTGTTTTCTGTGCTAATGGCCGGGCCATGTGCAAATCCCAATCATTCAACAGTTGTGGAGAGTAGATTGTATTAACCTCAATAATGGTAGTCTCTTTCCGTTTCTTTCTCACCCTCAATCCAGATGATGGCTCCAAGCCCACACCAACCATGGAGACTCATGTTGTCCCAGAAGGTGAGGGTAAGTTTCGACCACATGCAAATACAAGCGCATGAGCACGAGTCTTGCATTTATGGATATGGCTGATATACAAGTACAAATCAGTGTGTTTGTTTTATCACCACAGAGATTACAGCTCCAACATTGTGGATTAAGCAGCTGGTGTATAAAGAGAACAAACAGAACAGTTCAAACAGTAGGAAGCCAGGTGAGCATCCATCTATCCATCCATCCAACCATCCATCCATCCATCCATCCATCCATCCAACCATCCGTCCATCCGTCCGTCCATCCATCCATCCATCCATCCATCCGTCCATCCATTCATCTGTCCATCCATCCATCCATCCATCCATCCATCCATCCATCCATCCATCCATCCAACCATCCATCCATCCATCCATCCATCCATCCATCCAACCATCTGTCCGTCCGTCCATCCATCCATCCATCCGTCCATCCATTCATCTGTCCATCCATCCATCCGTCCACCCAACCATCCATCCATCCGTCCGTCCGTCCATTCATCCGTCCGTCCGTCCATACATCCATCCATCCATCTGTCCACCCAACCATCTGTCCACCCAACCATCCGTCCACCCAACCCTCCGTCCATCCGTCCATCCATCCATCCATCCATCCATCCATCCATCCATCCATCCATCCGATATATATCAATTTCAGTTGTCTCACAATGTTTAATAGCTGATTTGATTTCTTAAAGATATAAATGGAAAGAAAATCATGTTAGTCCATTTCCCTCTTAAAACAGTAATGGCCAAAAACACACTATTTCAAGCAAAGCTTTGTGCTGACACACACTACTGATGGCCAGCCTACACAGCTACAAATATTTCAAAGCATCGTCATTGCTGCGTCCAAGTTGGTACATTGAAAGCGCACTTGATTGTGCAACATTTCTGTTCCAGTTTTAGATTTAATATCAGCATGTCCAGGGACGAGAAACCCAACACCGCTAGAATTATGGCGCCCCTCTTTCTCTGTTGGTGTCAGCTCTCCTCTGTGTAATTTGTTTAGCTTTCTGTGTCTCCTTTACAATTTCCTTCAAATGAGTCGAGCACCCTCTGGGCATGCTCAGTCAACTCCGTCAAGTTCTGCGAGGTTTTTGGGCAGTGCGGTTGAGAAGTAGGGATCTGAGTTTCTGTGGCACAGGAGGAGAGCAGATTGAATTTAGGATGTGTGTGTGTGTGTGCGCGCGCGTTGTATACGTCAAATTGTGTATATGCAGTTCCAGTGGCGCTCCCTTGTTTATTGCCTGGGTGGCCTATAATTGGTAAACAGTGAAAAATAATCTATTGATTTCACCAGAGAATAATTGACACAGTTTTGACAAAAGATATTCTGTGCTGAAGGAAACGCTTACCTTGAGCAGACACGTTGTATATATAATCTGACACGTCTTTGGAAAGCTTCAGAGTCTCCTCCTGTGACCAATTAGCATCTGTTGCACATCAACACTATTCAACCAGAGTAGCAGATCCACGGTCATCACAGGGCTGCTTTTGGTGAAGAAGTGACGGAGTTGGCATCAGGCTCCACCGTTGCTGCTCATGGGAGTGTGCGTGGGATCTGGAGTAAATTGAAACACTGAGATGTTGCTTTTGCTGCTAAATAAATCTCCAAGAAAGCCAAGTTTCCATCTCTCAGTGCATTGTGGGTGGTACGCATCAGTTCGATCTTTCACACATCAACTCGTGCAGTTATAACAGTGAACATGCTCATCTAAGGTGAGGTAAATTGTGTGTTTCTTCGGTAATTGTGGTTGTGGTCCCCATGAAACAGAACAAGCATAATTATCGTTGTGTCCCCTAAGATTTGGGGGTTGTAGTAGCATTACAGGTTTGGACTAGCTACTGTATACAAAGCTCCCTATACTGGTTTGAGTGCAGGTATAGATGGACTGCAAAAAAGGATATATAGAATTACCATGATACCACAAGCTCTAGAATAGCATTTTACCCATGATGACTGTACCTGCAATTTTGTCATTCTTAGGAAATGTGGCCCTTTGTGCCTTAAAACTTATAGGGTCACAATTTCCATAGACATTTTGGGTCCACCACATGGCCTCAAACTACTACTTCTAATCCTTATGTATTCGTATTATTATTTTGAACCTTTCAGGCATGAGTGTTATGGATATTATATTATATTATATTATATTATATTATATTATATTATATTATATTATATTATATTATATTATATTATATTATATTATATTATATTATATTATATTATATTATATATATTATATATTATATCCAAAAAAGTTTGTGTTAACATATTATGTTTTTACTGTGTATAATTATTTTGTATAAATAAATACACAGGTATGCATGCATATATTTAAGAAAATTTTTTTATTTATATATAAAATGTGTATATATAATATAAATTATGTATACACATAAGTTTATACATGCAAATATTTTTTAAATGTATACTTGCATATATGTATTTATATATACAAAATAATTATAGACAGTACAAACATAATTTGTAAACACATTTCATTTTAGAAAAGATTAATCGTGATTGATCCTTGCCCACCACATTATTAATATTATATTATTTTATATTATATTTTATATTATATTATATTATATTATATTATATTATATTATATTATATTATATTATATTATATTATATTATATTATATTATATTTGTTTAAATTATTTAAGTTACCTGTTTTTTAATGTGCCCCCCAAAAATCCAATACCAATCCTTTACTTTATATAGGATATATATTTATTTATTATTTATATATTTATTTATATCAAACCAACCAAACAGAAAGTGCGACAAAAAGTGCGGAAAGAGTTTTTTTTTTTTTTTTTACTAAATTTAAAAATTTTCTTTATCTATTTATATTAAAATGTAATGGTGATGAATGGGGATATGCAGTTGGCTGATATTTTAATGAATATCAAACATTTAAATATATATTTAATTGATTTTCTTTTGGATTCTACAGAGTTAAAACCATTAAACCACTGTATTTGACCAAATTCTGTATCTTGTTAATTAAAGTCAGTAGTCATAAGTCATGGGGACACCAATGAGGAATAATCCCAATTTCTCAGAATAACCCAATATGAATCCCTTTGGATAAGATAATATGGCAAATAACCAGGATGTGTCACAAACCAGGAAGTTATTAAGCGATCATTGGCTCAACAATATATTGTGTTTCTCGATATATAAATATACATCCAGTCATCAAACCAACTATTGACCACGTGAAGGAAATAAAAATGAAAATGTTAGAACACTTCTGAGGATGAGGAAATGTTTGACATGATTGTCTATAAACCTTTCCATGTTAAAGTTTGAGGAGAACACGGTGCCCACCCCTCCTCCCCTGGCCCATCATGCCCTCCTCTGTTACGTTATGAGCTCAGAATGCATAGATCCAAGACTGGAGTGATTACTTTCCCCACAGCTGAAAACAATTGCAGGGACGGCATATGAAGAAAGAGAAATAGAAAGAGAGAGTGAGATACATGCATCTAAAACAGAAAGGGAGAGAGAGAACAGTTTGTTTAAAGGAGGCTGATAAGTCTGAGTTTCGAGCTATTTTGTTTGGCCAGATCTTGGCACGATGAAACGCATGAGGCTCTGATTTTCAGCCGTGATAGTGAGGAAAATCAGCAGAGTTTACCTACAACATACCTCGCATAAACTAATCAATACCAGCCTGTAAACACTGAGAGAGAACAACAGCAAAGCATTCTGGGAGCAATGAGGTCTCACCTCGGCTGTATCTCACTTATGTCTGTTTGTTTAAACAGAACTCATGCAACTCACTTCTTGGAAAAAAAAAGGGAATAAAAACGTCTGTACTCTGAAAAGAGAGGATCGTCGGATCAAGTTTTACGTGCAGATCTTTAAAAAAAATGAATGCATAACAAAAATGTGACGCAAATAGGATTAAATGGGATCTCAGACTGTCCATCCTTTTCTGTCCTGTTTTATCGTATTATGGCGCGAGAGAGAGCGAAAAAAAAACAATTTTCTTTTGGAAATCCCATCTGCTTGGCGCCAGTATACCCTCGCTACAATAAACAGTGCTAAATAATTTAGATATGAAGGAACCTTGGCGGGAAGCGCAGGAGTCACGGACTGCCGTGAACACTTGAATGTGGACTGAGAGCCCATCTCTGGAAAAGAGGACACGTTAATGCTCTCCCCCGTTCCTTGTCTTCACAGTCAGGTTCCACTTAAAACACCCCAAGCCTTGTTCCCGATCACGCCAACACTGTCAGAACTTACCAGAACTGTTTGCAATGAAGTCAAAAGCAAAAACAGCAGGATTTGGTTACGTAGCTCATGGTTTTCATTTGGAGGCTCAGAAGAACACTCTGAGTGGGCAGTGCTGTTCTCAGTTTAATTCTCTCACACTCCAGATCTTGTCCTTCCTCAGTACCACCACTCCATCACCCTCCGGCCAGGAATTTTATACTTGGGTATAAAACCATTTTCTTTTGGGGACCATTTAGAGGACCTCCTCTCCAAGTAAAACTAGTTTAGTCATTATGATGCACATTGTTCTCGAGTTCGCAATGCATCATTCCGTAATCTCGTCCCATCATTTCTACAAAAGACAAAACTTTTTTTAAACTTTAAAATGTTAAATTATCATAATCACTAATTTAAAAAAAAAAATCCATAATAAAGGTATTGTTATATACACTATGTGTGTCCTTTGTGTTGAATCTTTAATGGGATTTAATGTCTAACCTGTGTGATTAATTAGTAAAATTTTTAATCAGTTTGCAACCTTACTTTTAACATTTACAAGATTGAAGAAACAGAAGAAAGGAAAGACTTGAGAGAGTTTTGTATAGCTTATGCGTCCGTCCAATCTAATGATTAACAGCTTGAGCGTCCCGGGCTGTCGTGCCGAGGAAAACGGCGGATCTGATAACTGTTCTTGCGGCACGATATTCACTAAACATCTGATTAAAAATGACATCAATCAAGAGTGTTAAAAAGCTCTTCAGCACCCCGCTAGCTGGATTAGCCTCAACATCTGCTGCTATTATACTTGGCCCGATGCACTACAAGTGAGCAGTGTACTAAATGGATTTCAACATAAATAGAGTTTTATGAGACAAGGCGTTAAAACATTTAAAAGAACATCTCTCAAGTGTCCTTTGTGTTAATAAATACATGAAAATTAAATCCTAACGGCTCAGAAAAGAAAAGGGGTCGAAGATACCCCTTGAAAGTTTTTAAGTCAATTCTGCTTCAATCAATATTAATCACAATGTTGGTGAAAGTTTTATTGTAGCTGATCTCAGTCAAATCTAATTTTTGATTACACAATTTCCATTATAAATGGACATTTACAGCATAGATCTTTCAGGACTTGAATTGGTTCAATTCACAGATACACTGAATTTATATATTTAATTAAAACAGTTGCAACAGTGTTAATTAATGACTTTAACCATGAATGTAAACGCGTCTCTTGTTGAAATTAAAGGTGCAGTAAACAATTTCTGAGAAACGCTGTTGAAAGTGGATCAGACCGAGCAGCACAACACACTTGTAGCCAATCAGAAGTAGGGGGTGTGGCTTCTCATGATGGGGAAGAAGAGAGAGTGAGATTTCAAGATAGACTGTAGAAAGAGAGATGGCTGAGAGACATTACAAAAAATAAAAGCTCAGAGGAATATCACTGGAAAAAGAAGGGTTATGATCAGGGTTATGCTTCACTTCAGTTATGATAAAGAGACATCCGATCTTATATTGTGTGTTTGTGCATTTTTGGGTGGAGCAATGAAGGGAGGGGTTGTGTTTGTTTGGGTTGATTGCAAATATCAACAGTGTCTCTCAGAAATCCGTTACTGCACCTTTAAGGGAGCATATGGTGGAAAGATTGACACAGTGGATACGTGACTCAAACTTATATAGACGATTATATTGCTTTATTGCCATTGTTGAAGAGTATTAAACCATACCTGAAGTGCACTACCTGATATGAGAGATTTCTGTGTATTGAGTGTGTTTCTCATGGTTTTAGAGAAAGTTCCCTCTTGTGACCAGGAGAGGCAGACGGCCCAGGATGAGGCTCGGCAGAATCCGCGGGAAGCCATCTTCATCCCTGACTGCGGCCTGCAGGGACTCTACAAGCCGGTCCAGTGCCACCAGTCCACTGGTTACTGCTGGTGTGTGTTGGTGGACACCGGGAGACCCATACCTGGAACTTCCGCAAGGTAAGACAGAAACAAACTGCCTTATGACAAATTTTGTAATTGTGTCATTAGCGTTGCCTAAAGGGGGGGTAAACACCGGGACGAATATCGGCGCGCGTTATTCGTTAGCGTTTTTCAACACGTTTTTTGTGTTCACACCCAAGCGATTTTCGCTGACGATAAGCCGACTGAACATGCAAATTCATTCCCTGACATTAGATGGCGCTTAATGTAAAACAGAAATAGTCCTGTTTTGTAGTCGCTGTCGCATTTGTCAAAGTTCTTTATCCTCGTCTTACTTCTTCCCGGCAGTGTAGACGCTACTTGGTGTATGTCTTCTTCGCTGTTACGCATGTTTGCTCGGCAAGACCGGTTTGTGTTTGAGCGCCCCCAAGTTGTGTTTTACTGTAACTTCAGAAGCTCCAAACACGTGAGCAAAAGCGCCAATCTCATTGGTCGGATAGTTTTTGCCGCGGCGTGTCAAAAAAAACAAAAAACGAACCCGAGGCGTTTTTAAAAAAATGACGCTTTTAAGCACGCCGTTTTACGCGTCAGTGTGCACACTCACATTGGCGCCCTTTGTTTAGTCACGAGGCGTTAAACGTCGACGAATATCGCGTACAAAATTTGTCCCGGTGTGAACAGGCCTTATCATGGATTTTTGAAAATGACTGTTCATATGGTGTGGAATATAGCTCTAAGGGAATGAAAACATCCTGCAAAGATTTATATCTGAAAGTGCACCGTATATAAAGTTATTGTCTTTCAAAAGTGAGAGTCGACTGAAATTAATAGTTTTTGAAACGAGTCATTAGCTGGTTCGTCGTGACGTAGATACAGACGGAAGTGTAAAGTCTACACATTCAAATACTTCATCATAGCATCATGTCGAGAAGACGCTACAATGCAAAGATAGTTCAGACACTTTGTTTTCACTTACCAGGGACGAGCATGTGAAGAATCGGTGGTTAGAGTTCATATTTGCAACGATACCACAACAGTATAGCCGATTGAGTTCTCATCATTTTAATGACAAATCGTTCAAAAACTGAATTGAATTCAAATGTGGATTCTTAAGCGGTTGTTCCTGAAGGAGGGCTCAGTAACTTACTTACCCAGAGTATATGGATCAGCTTCCACCTTCGAATCACAACCTGTAAGTATTATTAATAATTGTTGCTTTTATGGGTTTTGAACGGTTTTGTAGCGTCGGGGCGCGAGGAGGGAAGGCGCAATAAGTGTGTGTGTGTGTAAGTTATGCTCAGCGCAGCTTCTAGGTCTCCAATGTCAATTTTTTTTAAATATATGAAATGTTTGTCGCTGTTATTGGAGTTGTCATAAAGAATAGAGCGTCTTGTAGTACTGCAGTGCTTTATCAATATGTTTATGCGTTATGCTAACAAACAATAACCGACTGGGTCTGTCATCTGACCAACCAATCACCGCCGATTAGCGTCACGCAAAGGAGTGGTTTGGAAAAATGAGTCGTTGTACGAATCAGCAAATCAGTTAAAAATAAATGCATATTATAAGCCAAATAAAGTGTTTTTTATCCTTGCATGCATGTTGCACTGTTTTTGGGAACTCCTAAAACAAAAATAAGAACGTTTCAAATGCTATGATAGGGGCTCTTTAAGACATTAATATCAAGATAGAAAATCAAGACAAAGATCTGTGCTGTAACCCCATTATTTATACGACATGTTTCTGGATGAGCTTGCATGCTCTAAACATCTCAAAATGCTAAAAGACTGGCGATCATCCAGTGCGACTGATTAGTTTAGTTGTGGAATGTTATGACAATCGATTTTCTCTCCAAACCACAGTCTTTATTTTTCCATGAGCAAAGCTGTCAGTGCTGAATTTTGTTTAGAAAGCTTTCAAATTGAAAGCGTGACACATCCTGATGTGTTTCTACCCATTATGGGCTGTGATTTATTTTCCACTTTTGGAGATGGGTAAATTGATCTCTTTTTTTTACCCTGGAAACATTGAGAAGGTTTAGCCAACTGGTTCTTGCTGAACGCAATTCGCAAGTTGAATCCTCTGAACCATGCTGAGATGGCGTGATGCTTCGGATAGATGTTCTGGATGTTTCCGTTAAATCCTAGATTTCTTGTGGTTCTTGTGGGAGGCCGCAGTGTCATGCATTCTTATGTCTGTCTTACGAAAAACCAGTGAACCAAATTGGATCAAACAATGAAATCAAATACTGAGGGTTTGTTACAGTGAAGGCCAAACTCTGCATTCTCTACGAACATGTCCATGATGATTTGGTTGCTAAATCCATATTTTTGCGGTTGTCAAAGTTTTCTGAGATGTTGTAGGCACATAGCATTTGCTAGGAAGTTCTGGATGGCTGCCTACTGTCCCAAGTCAAAAGACTCTATAAAAGTCACGATATATTTATTCACTGCAAAGTTCTTTTTCCATCCTACACTTAGGGGTAAGTTGAAAATAACTTTGCAGCATTACTGAGAACTGCGATTCAACTCTCCAGTCCAGTCAAGTCATGTTGTGTTTATTTATATAACACTTTATACAATTGATTGTTTTAAAGCGAGCGGCTTTACGGTAGTAAACATGAAAAATGGCAATGTCACTTTCAATTAGAATTACAACTTCAAGTTCTACTATAAAGCAGCTCTCCATTGCGTTTATGTTTTCACTCTCAGACTGAACTGAAGAAATGTGGCTGCACATAAGGCTTGTGTGGCTTTGCACAGATACTGATAATAGAGTGAAATACATTGTAAAAGTGCCTCATGTTTGTGTTTTCCATCAGGTATAAAAAACCAGAATGTGACAGTGCGGCTCGTTCTCGAGACTCAGAGATGGAAGATCCTTTTAGAGACAGGGATCTGACAGGTGAGCAGAAATGTTGACATGAGGTACATCCCAAATTCTCCCAATTCGCATACTTGTACACTATTCTGTGTTGTTTTGTAGTATAAATAATGCCAGGTTCAAACTACACAATATTTTTTGACCGATTGTGTGATTTCGATTCTTTAAATTCTTGTCATGTCGTGGATAAGAAGCATGTCCGACTACATGTTGCTTCCAAACCAATCATCGTTTGTCGTCTTTAACAATGTGAGTGATGTCATCAAGAAAGCGGGACTTGTGAATGACTTCCGGAAAGAAGAGCATAAACAAACAACGGCTGTACTATCGTAGCACTCAAACCGTATTCACTTTATAGCCCTTAATCCTGTAATTGTGGACAAATGTGGGCACAGAGGATTCAGGTGTGATCCTAATTTTTATTTATTATAAATGTTATATCACTGTCTTCGATAAAGTTTTGTCTATTCATTTATGGTGTTTTTTGTTATTTTGGGGGTATTTTTGAATTTATTTACTTCAAAAAGTACCATATTTTCTATGTAAATTATGCTTATTTTTATGTTTTCGTTTTTAATTTTTTTAAACTACATTAAAATATCATTCCAATAAGTTGTTAGAACTAAAACCTAAAGATGAAGTGACTTTGCTGTCACCTGGTTGTTATTTTGGCTTATTTTAGAATGCTCTAAATGACAGTTTTTCCCACTTATTTCTGTGTGTGCCCATTTTTGACCCAAATATAAGATAAAGAAGGTTTTTTTTTTTCACCCATTTAACATTGTAGAATTGAGTCAAAAAAAAATTGTGTGTGTTCAGGAGGCAAACTTAGGAAAAGTAGCCAAGTCTTGTACCGCTCAGATCAAGGGAAGTATTTTTTAAAAAATAAATCAAAACTATTTTGCCCACATCTGTCCAGAATACGGTTTTAGTTAATGCTAATTCCAGAACTCGCGCTTCTGCTATCTTTCACCAGCATTTATCTTTTTTAGTTGTAGTTCATCAAGGAAACATCATAAAGGTTGCTCTAGCTCCACAATTTCCTCCATTGCTCTCTTTCTCTCTTTCGTTTCGCCGTGTTTGAAAGCTGTGTATGGAAGAGCTTCTGTGCTCCTATTGGTCAACGTCATAGATGTGACGGAAAAATGCTAGTCTTTCTGTCAAGACGTTGCAAAGCAATGCAGACAGTTGTCATCCGCTATGACACTATACGAGATAAACCGATCGATTCTTCCATCCCAAAGCCCATTGTCATTTACGAATCACCACAACATCCTAAATCACATGGATCATGACAAAATGGGGCTGATATTGTGTAGTCTGAACCTGGCATTAATGCCATACACTAGATGACAGAGAACATAGTGTGTAGTATAAGTGCATATTTATATTATGTCATTTAGGACACAACTATGGACTATAAGGGGTCGCACACTGAACGAGAAGCCGCAGCACTTCATTAACATTCAAACACATTGTTTGGTATGCACACAGGTGTCTCAGTGAAACGTTTAAAAAAAAAATCTATAGAGAGCTATAATGATATCGATCACACATTCTTTGTACATGTTGCCCTGTTTTTCCAAATACCAAACTTTCATTGATGCTACTTTGTTCTTGAAGTGAACTGAATTGGTGTTGAGATTCACTGTTTGTGTGTGATACTGGCGAGTTGTCCATGGTGTTTGCCGTCCGGTGTGCGACCGGCTTAACTGTCTTCATTACTACGTTACACGTCACTCCTTCTGTTTATATGTAGGCTAAATAATTTCTAAAATATTTAGATAGTTCCTGACCGGTTATACAGTGTACCAGTCATTTGTTAGCTGCATTAGCTATTAGCTTTGAGGTCATTAATACGCTATAAGATAGTGTACTCCTCAAAGTCTATATTCTCTTCTGGGACAATGAACCAAATTTTAGATTATTTATTGATTATTTTCCCAATCAGATGCTCTTTAGAATGATAATATCCTTCCCTGCAACTAACTAGCACGTAGCAGCTAATGGCTATCTACGTAGCTAAAGCCTATTGCTTATTTTGTTTTTACGTGCAACAATGACTATATTTCTTTGGATGCACCATGTTTCCGCCACAGAATAAAACAATTTAAAAGATAATTGCAACTTTTTTTCCACAATTGTGAGTTTATATCTCGCAATTCTGACTTTTTTTTCCTCAGAATTGCAAGATGCTATTGCTGAAGCTATTGGGTCAGAATCCAGTTTCTTCACTATAAAGTCGCAACTGCTTTTTTTCTTGTAATTGTGAGTTTATATCTTGCTATTCTTACTTCTTTTCTCAGAATTATTAGATAAACTCGTCATTTTGAGATATGACAAGCAATTGAATGTTTATACCAGGCATTTCTGACTTTATAACTCCCAATAACAAGTTTATATCACACAATTGTGAGAAAAAAAGTCGCAATTACCTTTATTATTTTTGTACTATTCAGTAGGGGAAAGAAGCTAATATGTTAATTATTGTATTGTATAATTAAATTTTCCTCGACTCTGCTCACAATAAATAAGAGTATGGGTTCCTTTTTGTTCTTGCTAATAAGGTTTGACAAATGGTTGCAAGAACATGCGGTACCACATGTTAGCATTTAAAGGTGGTTTTCCCTTGAAATATTAGGCTTTCGCTCGTTCCAGTTCTTTCCCTTTCATTTAGAATTTCATTGTAACTCCTTTTTAATTCCCCATCTGGTAAGTTTACAGAGTAAAACATGGCTCCTGACTGGGTAACAGATGTGTGGAGTAGTTTATGACGGCGTGGACCACTGGGGAGGACAGCAGCGGGGGGCCGAGAGGTGCTGTCAGTGCCCGGGGGGACTTCAGTCAAATTATTTTTATGTACTCTTCTTGAGTGCAACCTGGCACCAGAGCAAAGAGTTTTGGCCTCATCCTTTCAACAAAGGAATGGGGGGGAAGAACTTTTGGATAGATGTACTAGAACCATTCCCACAGGCCGAATTCCCCTACAAGACCCACCTGTAGCATCCTCATACTAGTGCAAAGAAACAAACAAACTCATGGCTGATCTACATCAGGGCTTCCCACAAGCTAGCCGGCGTTATGAAGTATACATCTGCCGAATATGGGAAGTTTGACCAGATGAGTCTGATTCCATGTGTTCCTCTAATTTAACACTTGGGCTGAGAAGCGCTGAGCCGGCACGTCATCACACTTGTCCAAACCCTACAGATACTAATTGGAGTCACCTGGTACGCCACAGGGCCCCACCTCCCAAACCGGACCAGCTAAACTAGAGTGAGGATGACACGAGAAAACCAAAGTGAAAATGTAAACTGAGATTACTTTATTACGTTCTTCTGTTATAGGTCACCCTTTAAGAGACACAATTAAGGCCGAAAGATTGACTCAAGGGGTGCACGCCGTTGCAGCCGAGCATCTGGGACAGTTAAAAAAAGCGCAACCCAAGGTGTTCAGAAATGTGTCGTAAAAGTTAACTGGGCTGCGAAAGTGCCCTCGTCACCTTGTCGATCTAGCTTGTTTGCTACTTTACATTTCACACGTGCACTCAAGCATTTGCAAATGCTAACATCTTTTGTTTGGCGTATTTTATCTTTGAATTGCTATAAGATGTTACGCCTGATATCAGCGTATTGCATGACGTTGTATATTTCATTGGGACAGCTTAATACTTTCCTCTCTGACTGTGAGCGTAATTGAAAAGAACATCGAAAAGGACATTTTAATGTTGAAAATAGCTATTTTGTGTTCTGCTGTTAGACTAAATGAATGCTTGTGGTTATGTGGGTCTCTCTTTAAATGTTACAGGGTGTCCAGAAGGAAAGAAAGTGGAATTCATAACCAGTCTGTTGGATGCCCTTACTACTGACATGGTGCAAGCCATCAACTCACCAACCCCCTCTGGTGGCGGGAGGTAAGAACTTAATAAAGTAATGCGTTATTCACAAATGCTACGGTATTTAGTTAAAATAAATAAATTGAATACAGAATACATTTGTATCGATTTGCGAATAAAACTGAATTGTTATTAGAATAAAGTCATACAATTTTTTAGAATAAAGCTTAGAAAAAAATATTATGAGAAAAGGCATAATTATCAGAAATTCGAATGAATGTGGAATTTTAAAAATGTGTGTTTATTTGCAAAACTTGATGACTAAATTTAATTTTTAGAACAAATTTGACTATATGTGAAGTAATATACAGTACAACTGGGATTGTTTGTGCTCCAGGTTTGTTGAGCCTGACCCAAGCCACACACTGGAGGAACGGGTGGTTCATTGGTACTTTGCCCAGCTGGATAATAATGGCAGTCACGATATCAACAAGAAGGAAATGAAGCCCTTCAAGCGCTACGTGAAGAAGAAAGCCAAACCCAAGCGATGCGCCCGCAAGTTCACCGACTACTGCGACCTTAACAAGGACAAGACCATCACCCTTCAAGAACTCAAAGGATGCCTAGGAGTCAATAAAGAGGGTGTGCAGCTTTTCTGAACGCATTTATGATATAAAAACGGATTTGGTGGAACCACATTTGGCGAGGTTATTACGGAAGTTTCTTAATTTCCCCTCGTGCTTCCTGTTCCATTGAATACACAATGAAAGTTGGTTTTCCTGTCAACTTCCTACCAATTTGAAATGTTGGAGTTTGTAGTTTCTGGGAATAGTATCCACATTGCAAGGAAGGATCAAAATTTGACTAAAAGTATTTTTAAATAAATCCGTAAACAATTGAATGTAGATATTTCCAAGGTTGTGTATAGGTTACAGTAGTTAGTCAATCATTGTTTTGTTGGAAATGACCTCCTACTTTCTTTTTAAATTAACCTTGTTTCCTCTGATCTAAATCAGACATATGTTATTGAAGTGTATCTATATTATTAATACCATTATCATATTATTTTTTACAAATGTGACTGTCCAAACCAGTAGCGTTGTGTCTCTGTATTATGTGCTAAACCACTGAGGCATATATTATTAATGCAAAATTTGTTTATAAGTCCCCATAAGATAAGAGAAAGCATGAAGTTCCCCATACAAGTTGCTACTTGTAATTACAATTTCATGTTTCAAAAATGTGAATTTATATATCTTTCGAATTGTAACTTAATTTTTTGCAATTGCTACTTTGTCAAACAACATGACTTTATATCTTGCAATGTAATATTATATCTAGCAAATTGAGACGTAAAGGGACAATTCACCCCAAAATGAAAAAGATTCTGTCATGACTTACCCAAATATTGACAGAATTTGCATTTTTGGGTGAACTAACCCTTTAATTTTGTTTAAAAGAGTAGTTCACTTTTCAAAAAACTTTTGCTGATAATTTACTCACCCCCATGTCATCCAAGATGTCCATGTCTTTCTTTCTTCAGTCGAAAAGAAATTAAGGTTTTTGATGAAAACATTCTAGGATTTTTCTCCATATAATGGACTTCAATGGGAACCAAACGGTTTAAGGTCCAAAAGACACTTTCAGTGCAAACTGCAAACTGTTCAAAGGGCTTTAAACGATGAATAAGGGTCTTATCAAGTGAAACGATTGCTCATTTAAAAAAATAATAACAAAGTTTAAGTTTTATAAGCTTAAATGGTCAAACTCATTCATCAGAATGAACGAATCTTTTCCAGAGTCAATTCGTTAATTTCATTCGTTGAATGAACCAAGTGACAAATGATACGGAAAAAGATTCGTTCGTTTTGATGAACGAGTTTGAACAGGAGAGTCACGGAACGTGCATCACAGAACAGAGCAAGGCGAGCATTTGAGCTTATAAAACTTTTTTTTTTAAATGAGCGATCGTTTCGCTTGATAAGACCCTTATTCATCGTATGGAATCGTTTAAAGCCCTTTGAACAGTTTGAAGTTTGCACTGAAACTCTCTTTTGGACCTTGAACCGTTTGGTTCCCATTGAAGTCCATTATATGGAGAAAAATCCTGGAATGTTTACATCAAAAACCTTAATTTCTTTTCGACTGAAGAAAGAAAGACGAGGACATCTTGGATGACATGGAGGTGAGTAAATTATCAGCAAACGTTTTTTTAAAAGTGAACTACTCCTTTAATGTTTTTTAACTTTTAGTCTCACAGTTGTGATTTTATATCTCACAATGCTGCTTTATTTTATACTATTTATCACAACTTGAGTTCATGCTAAAACCCCAAAAAAGAACATGGGAGTAAACAAGGCTCAGGAAAGACAACCGAAAAACATTCGTTTTAACTCTCTTTTTTTTTAGGGACTGTATAACATGAGTCAAACACAGAGACATCTTTGTAAGATTCAGTAGTTAAAAAAATGTTAGACATAGACAGTAGAGACATTTGTCTGGGGAAACGTGTTACTCGGATCTTTTACTATATTAACTTACATCTGTCTTTCTTGTATGTTCTGTTTGCAGGTAGCACTTCAAGCAGCAGCAGTCAGGGGACAAGGCAAGGGACAAATTTGTTCAGTAAGGCCTGACTAATTGCTTTCGCACTAACATTTGCCTCAGCAGCTGCAGAGAGCAGAAATTATAATACATTAACAATATGAATAGATAGGAAGCAATGTAGTGACCAATATAAACCTTGGCTTTTTACAAGACGGCATGAATGATGCATCTTTATGGCCACCCACATTGTGTCTGCGTTTGTGTGTGCATGTATTCTTTATGAGTTGGATTGCTTTAATCAAGTTGTTCATGGTAGTCATGGTGCTGTATGTAATTGAGTCAGAAGTGAACTATTCTTCTCAGATAATAATCAGGGTCTAAAAAATTGTAGATTAAAAGAAAGTGACATCATTACTTTGAGTAATTTGGTGGAAAATTCACATTCGACTCTCAGCGAGGAAAATATGAATCTTTGCTCGTAGGCACGTTTTTTTAAAGCCAAACTTTTAGTTGACAAATGAAATCACAACAAAAACAGCAAATGGAAACTGTTGTAAAAGCCTTAGAAATAATATTACAGTAAGTACATTATTGTAATAACACTATTGTTGTGAATTCATGCTTTAGCTGTTAAATGTCTGTGTCGTTGTTACGGAAAGAGCATATTCACAATAGAAATTTTTCCATCTACCTACTATTATGCGCATTTTGGGATATCACATAAAAAAACAACAACATCTGGACAGAAATGGCAAGATGTGCATATCATCTGTCTGGGTAACCAGCAGACCGATCTTTTTGCGCAACATCTGAAATGGTGTTTTTGGTTGTTCTGATAAGCCTGAGCAAAGTCTGTCGTCAAAGTGGTTAATTGCCTTCCAGAACTGTAGTACACGACTGCATTCCCGAACATCAAGCATCTGTCTTGAAACACAAGATAACACATTTAGTGCACTTCATCTGCACGAGTAATTTATTATAAGCAAAAATTATCATAATAGAGTGGCTTCTACGTTTTCCACCAGACAGTGACAAATTAGAATGCTGGTATGAGTTAAAGGGATAGTTCACTTTGAAATTAATGTTTGGTATGTTTTATCTCACTTCAAAGGCATCCAAGATGTAGGTGTCTTTGTTTCCGCAGTAGTTTCAATTTTGATATTTTTAGGTCAAACCGTTCTCGTCTGTCGGTCATATAATGGAGGTCTATGGTCACCACCTCAAAGAGCATGCACAGAGAAGTCCAAATTAAACATGATTTAATGACTCGTAAATGTAAGTCCACATTGATGGCCTAAGACACGAAACGAGCGGTTTGTGTGAGAAAACGAACAGTATTTATGTACTTTTTACCTCTTATAACCACAGCCACGTCCAAGTGATCTGAGAGCGCGGGCGCTTCAGTCTGCGCATGCCCCGTAGGTGATCTCTTGCGTGGTCGAGAAAAAAATTCAACGTTGTCTGTTGATATATCGAAGTCGTCTTCCATTGCGATTTCCTGTAAATTTAAATATGTTTAGATCCTCACAGTGAAAGATAACACTTCCGTACATGTGTGAGAGATCACTTCCGGTGCTTGAGGAGACCGAAGCACCTGCGCCTTCAGATCACTTGGACGTGGCTGTGATTACAAGAGGTAAAAACGATATAAAGACTGTTCGTTTTCTCACACAAACCGCTCGTTTCGTGTCTTAGGCCATCAACGTGTACTTACATTTTAAATCATGCTTAATTTGGACTTCTCTGTGCATGCTCTTTGAGGTGGTGACCATAGACCTGCATTATATGACTGACAGACAAGACCGGTTTGACCTAAAAATACTGCGGAAACAAAGACACCTACATCTTGTATGCCTTTTTTATTTCAAAGTGAACTATCCCTTTAATTAACCAGCTAACAAAGTGCTTCTGTTTAGCAATGATCATTTTTTTTGATCATTCATCATTGCCAAATTTCCAGCATTACTGACTATGTGCAAAGCAAATTAAATAAGATGTGCACGATGGTTTAGTGAGGTCAATTATGGTGAACAGCCCTTTGGTTGGATCTTGGAAGCAACTACTTAACCTCGGATAACTAGGCCGGATGGCGCGGTATACTGTATCCCACAGTCCACCTGATCGAGTTAAAATAATGCTACGTCCCATCATTAACTGCACCCGAAGTTCTGCTACTCCATCACTGGCGGAGAGACTTGCGACTTATGTTACTTATTACAAGAAGACATCCCGTCTAATAGCTTTTGTTGGACAAAAGTCGCAGGTTTGGAGTTACTCTCTTCTCCTCAAACACATCATTTGTTCTGCTTCACAGATAAGCAATGACAAGTGCATTAGTAGGTCTGTAAAACGTTTCCAACCTCATAAATCTAGCAGGAGAATACGATTTCCAAAATAACCACCAGGAGTCACGACACTGGGTTTTTTCACTCTTTTCTGCAAAAAATAAAATGATATACAGTAGCTGTATATTACCAGGTTATGAGAAGGAAAGTGTGGTTTTGATATTAATCCTGGTGTGCTTCTCCATATCTGCCTCCTCTGGTTTGCGGTTCTCTAAAGTGGAGAAATTATTTATCTAAATGCTATAATTCAGTGCGTCCAGACCCACCTGTTTCTCTCTGCGAAATTACAGCGTGAGGTTTAATTCATTGGGCTCCTGTGTGTAGACGCTCAGAAGTCATGCGCAGCTTTATAACTGGTTTGAATAAGACTTTGTGGCACCATTTACTTCACATTTGATTAGTGGTAGTCTTCAGTGATATTTTCTTTAGAGCCAGAGAAAAAAACACACTTATTTGGGAGCATGACTGTTTATTTGAAATGATGGCAACTGTAATAGCTCTGAGACCGAGACTGTCTCACTCGTGTTTTTTTTTTATCTTTTATTTTTACCGGTTTGGAGACAGAGACACAGAGCAGAAAGCAGAGACGTTCTGTCTCGTAGCACGATGACGAGTCGCTCTCTCGCTCCTTTGCGCTCACTGTCTGACTTTTGCCAGCCATAATGTTTTGCTTGTAGTTAGGTGTTTAGCGTTTGATGACAGGCTCGCTAGCCCCGTTTCTCGCTAGCTCGCTCTCCGACCAGTGGGATTCCCTTGTTATTAGTCGCATAGCTGCTGTTTACACTGGCTTGTGGGTTGTGGTAGCCTAGCAGAGACCCACCAAGGGCTGAGCTCATGTGTTTACCCTGGCGCTGCCCACTTCAGCCTAAAAACAGTGGCCGGGAAAGGGCAGAAACGCAGGCCCAGTGGACCGTGACTAGCACTGCCAAGATAAACAGCTGCTTGGTTTGGAGAGCTGAGGGGGCTTCTCCTGCCCACAGCCAAAGAGTTTGCTTTTCAACACCCCCCCTCTCTCGTGTACATACTCCAGGGTTGATGAATTGGGCCAAGCTTCTCCTAAAAGACAGGTTTATGTCTTGTCGCTTAAGTGTACTGGAAGTAAAATTGATGAGTCTGATGTAGTCGGGATTTGGGACCATGCACTGCCAAAATATCTACAGCGTGATGAGAGCCAATGGACATTTCCTTCATCTGGCTGTGGCTGTTTGACAGTGAATGTATGACAAATAGTACCTTTTATTTAGTTATAATATTAGTTGCTGCAATCCAGACACCAGAAATATCTCTTTAAAATGCTGATGATGCTCCTTACTTCACTGTGCACCTGGATATATGGTCATAACCTGGGCCATTCGCAGGGTTTTATAAATACAGTGGTGCCAAAATTGAGGTTTACTTAACCCTCTGGTGCTTTTTTTCATTGTAATGAATGTACTGTATTTTATTTTGATCATTTTTATATTGGAAAAAAAAATGTTTTAGGGGATTTGTTTGGGGCTAAATTATATTTATGTATTTATAATCCATTTATTACCGGTTAACCACGTTTTGATCATGAAATTGTTATAAATATTGACTATTTTTAAAGAAGAGACTTGATTGATTATTGCTGAAGCTAAAGAAAAAGTTTTAAAAAATTATAGCGGTTTAAGTTCATTTTTACGCACGTAAAAAATTCCTGCGGCGCGAATGAGGGGTACTCTCGATGAATGCTCGATCAACATAAAAAAAGATGGCCGCCAACGGGTTTCGATTCTGACGTGCGTAAATTTCGCTTCAATCTTTTGTTTTTAAACGCGTCAATTTCGCTGTTGACGCGCGAATGGATTCAAAGTGTTCAAGCGTATAACTAGACGCGGTAGGCGCGAATTTGGCGCGCTACTCGCGTCTGGTGTGAACGCACAGTAAGATTTTGTTTGGGCGCAGTACCAAACGTTTCCACTGTATGAAATTTGTTTCCCATTCATTTCCAATGCAGTACAAGCGTGACACGCCTTTTCATGGCCATTTAACCTTTTTGAAACAAGGATGTGTGTGCGTTCACATAGCAAGTGCCAAAACCTTTACCAAGTTTCATATCATTCCGATGAAGTAAAAAATAAAATATAAACTATAATATAAAACGTTTCGGTCAAAACCGAAGAGCACCACAAATTAATTTACTGAAGGCTACCAGAAAACCTAGCTTATTAAATTCACTGACAATATGTGCTCATTCATTCATGTCTAATACGTTAAAAAATGGCTCCTTGAATGTGTGTTGACTTGTCACCTTGACAATTATGAATTTCAATCATTACATGAATCATATAATATTACAATTAATCGCAATCAAGTAGGCCTGAATATTTTCAGTTCAAAATGGCAAAATTAGTCATTAAACTGTTTACTAGTTTAAATCCTTGATTAATTATGTCCATCGTTTAACGTGTCTGTCATAAAACAGCTGTCAAATATTAAATATTTAGTTTAGCTACTTACATCTTATCCCATACTGTCAACTGAAGCTTCGCTCTTGAATTCGTGTTCAGCAGCCCACTTACATTTATTTGATTAGTAATCTTAAACATTGACATTGATAAGCACTGTTAGCTTACAACTATGACCGATTTATTCAAATATGTAAAAAAAAATGGAAGAAAAGTGAAGTAAAACTAAAATACATATAAAATAGTGCCAATTGTGATTCATTGGATGAGAGGCAAGACAGTTGTTTTATCAAGATGAAGTGTTGTTGAATATGCTATTCACTATCAAACCATCTATCATACAGGCATTCTTTTCTTTGTATGTAAGAAACTCAGAACTGAACGCACTAATTATTAGTCTCTAATGCGCGGCTTAGCTTTTATGTTTTTGTTGGAAATTAAGAGGGCTGTTAAAACAGGGGTGGGCCATCCTTCCAGGCTAATTGTTTAAGGAGAAATATCACTGTATGGGACTCACCTGCTCTGCACATTTCTACAGATTCGACCAGTGCATTGTAACACTTATTTTGGTACTTCCTCTCATTAATGCAGTTTATAGTGTTTTAGCAGCATATTTGAGATAGCATGCACGCCTCTTAACTGTGCTTTAAGTGCTAAAAATGGACCAAAAGTAGATTTCAGACTGAAGATGTCAGACTATTTTAAATACGTCAGTTTGTTTGCTTTCATTTTGAGAGCAGACGTGAGTCTCAACTCTTATTTCTTGCGTTAGAAAGAGACTTTGTTTGCATGTGCCATTAGTCTTGTGAAAAAGACGCTTTTTAAGCAATCTGGCTGGGAGAATGTTGCAGACACACTGATTTGTTGGATCTTTGTCATTTGCGATAATTATGGATGACATCATGGAGATGTTTTCTATGGAGTATGCAAAAAATGGAAGCAGACTACTTGTGCACTTGGGAAATTTGGCGCTGTCTGGGAGTGAATTGTCCTAGTTTTTTTTTCTTTTTTTAAAAAGGTCATTTTCTGTAGCCTTTTGTATATAAATACAAATCTAACTTGAGTTTATTGTATGTTCAGATTATATAGCATTTGCTTTCAATTTCCTGATTTTTGCACTGCCCAATATTTTCAGTGATCCAGAAATGTGGGTTGCAGATCTGAGAGTATGAAAAATATATATCTGTATACAGTGTATATCTGTATATATATATATATATATATATATTAGGGCTGTCTAACGAATTATTAATCGCGATTAATCACATCCAAAATAAAAGTTTGTGTTTACGTAATACATAACATATGTACACACATATGCTTGTATATATTTAAGAAATATTTTCATGTATATACTGTATATAGATTTAAATATAATTTATATTATATATAAATATAAATATTTTATATATAAATATTTTTTTGCTTAAATATACATGCAGTGCCCAATATTCAAACGATTAATCGCAATTAATCATTTGACAGCCCTAATATATATATATATATTTTATTATATATATATTTTTTTGTTTGTTTTTTTGTTTGTTTGTTTTTTCTCTTTTTTCTTTTAAAATGGACTTTGAGTTTTGATTGATATATATATATATATATATATATATATATATATATTTCTGTATTTGAGTTTAAGGATTTTTTTTTGTTGACGAGTGAGTGATAAACACTAGTGGTATTGCATTGCCTTTCCGATGTAAAGTCTTTTAAAGTTCTTGAGCAAGGCAAGTCAAGAACCACCATCACTGTATCAACACCTGATTTTGCAGAATACTAGTAGTGCCCATTTAAATGTTGAACAGATCATGCACAATATATGTTTATGAATCAGCATCAGTGATACCTTGATGCACACCTTTTCTGCCACAAGGCAGTATCCTCCCCTTCCAGGTCTCCAGTGTAAGGCCTATAATCAGAGATCAGCAGTCAGGTAAAGCAGCTCTCAGACACACTGGATCTGGTTTCCCCGGCCTTTATCAGATGAGGGGGACGGGGGTGAGCAGGGAGAGGCTTTGTGTCCTTAATGGCACAGTCATTTCATCACTTTACCGCTCTGAAAGAGTAGAGGCCAAAGTGGACCCTTTTTCTGGTGCCTGTTAATTACCGAAGGGAATTGGGCTTTTGAGAAGAATGAGTATGCAGACACTGAGAGCTAAAAGAATTCTCCACGCTAACAGACAAACAAGACATACTCTCAAATTCGCTGCAAAACCGCCCCCGCAACTATGTTTAATAGGTATGTTTGCTGTGATAAATGTATAATACCTACAGTATAACATGTTTCTGTCAGTGTTGGGAAACTATCTTGATTATACTTAGAAAACTGCAAGCTAAGTAGAATTTAAAGGAATAGTTAAGAGAAAATGTCTTTCTTTCTTCAGTCGAAAAGAAATTAAGGTTTTTGATGAAAACATTCCAGAATTTTTCTCCATATAATGGACTTCAATGGGAACCAAACGGTTCAAGGTCCAAAAGACAGTTTCATGTGCAAACTGCAAACTGTTCAAACGGCTTTAAATGATTTCAGACGATGAATCAAGCGAAACAATCGCTCATTTAATAAATAAATAACAAAGTTTAAGTTTTGTAAGCTCAAATGCTCGCCTTGCTCTGTTCTGTGACGCACATTTGTGACTCTCCTGTTCATCAAAATGAACAAATCTTTTTTCGTGTCATTTGGTTCATTCAACGAACGAAATGAACAAGTTGAGAAAAAAAAATTAGGGGTGTCACGATTCGATTACATTTTCGATTCTAAGTTTTTTATCAATCGGCCAATCAGGATGCTCTCTGTCTTACATGCGCTTCATGAGGCACAAACGCAAGGTCTCTCGCTCTCTCCCTCTCTGTCAGTAGCGCTTCTAGGCACGGGCGCAGAAGCGATGTCAAGGGGATCTCCTGATTAGTTCAGGTATCGCGTCTTTTGCGCGCTCGAGGTCGTTATTTCAAATTTTCAAATAGGCGCACGGGAAGCGCGCTCATTATGCGCTCACTGGAAGCGCGCTCATAAACTTTTCAGTATGGGAGTGCACGTGCACCCAAACACTTGGGTGTTTTTTTCTCTTCTCCGTAAATAAATCTTTCAGCAGAGCTACAGCAAGCGTTTTTCTGTGGTGGAAATACATTAGCTACTAAAACGTTGTCGTTGTGGAGAGCGCGAAGGGGGTCTCGCCCTGGGTGGAATTCAAAGTAGAACCGCCACTGCTCTCTGTCGTGCGCACGATACGGTTTGGAGCAGTTTTTTCTGTCTCGGCCAGCATGCACGCTCGCTCTTGCTCGCTCACTCCAGATTCCTGGAGATTTGATCTAATTTTCGTGCATCATCCCGCTATCAATATGCGGGAGACTCCCAGAACTTCCGCGATACTTGGGATGTCTGCAAACTGCGGCTTTATTGAAAGCATAACTCCAAAGAACTTCCACACCTGCGAGTGCGACTTCAATGAAAGAGGAACGGGTTCACGTTCTGTCGACGAGTCTCCTGCATCTTGCTATCTTTTGAATGGCTGTAGCTAAGTTAGAGGAGGTTGACCATAGACTCGCAGCACTTCAACACGGCAAGCCGAACGGACGTGACACGGGGGCGTGGCAGCATCGACGATTCCATTTTTTAATTTGAAGTTCAAAATTGTGAATTAATATCAATTCAAATCGTGACACCCTTACTTGAAATAGTCATCAAAGATGAGAATCCTTAGCCCAGAGAGCCAAAGCAGCTTGTAGTTTTGATGCGCCGTTCACTTTAATCTGTAGAGACGGTAAAATGGCGCGGTTTGAATAAGTCTGCGCTACTGTAAGCGTTCGTGTAAAAACTGAAGTTTGTGCAAGTAATAAATTCAGCATAGGTGATAAAGCAGGTCTGTTCCTTTTGAGCGTCCACCTGCATTTCCCCACCCCCAAAATGCCTGCTGTTGACCTCACACACACACACACACATCTGATGGACCCGGGACCCCCCTCCGCCTGTCAGGCCCTTCCCCCATGGTGTATGAGTGGGGGTTCTTCACTGGAAGTCTTGTACTCCCTTCTACAGCGGCCATCTGCAAGCAATCTGTCTGTTACCCATCTCCCAAGTTCCTCTCTGATTGATAGCCCCAAAAGGAGTCCTACGGCCCAAACTGTGGACACCAAATGTCCCCGTTCCCAATGCCATCATGACCCAATTACACGCCACATCACTCCGTTATGGTTTACTGTACTTTACATGGCGTGAATAAATACTCTTTCTGCCACATGTTCTGAGAAGCAGCAATTATGATTTGTGGGCTAATGTCAAACGTCGCAGGCTCAAAGGCAAAATGGATAAGTGAGAGAATTTAAGGTAGAGCAAGAATTACACATCAGTCGCAGGGGAAGTGTGTGTTTCCCAAACGACTTTGCAAAGAGAACAAACACGGCCTCTTATCCTTTCAACGACGCATAAGCACAACGTCACTCGAAGGAAGCCATCTGACATCGAACATATCATCTTGAATGGATCTGCTCGCAGACAAAGCACACACACCATGTTGTTTGCCCCATATTTGTCATGTGTGTGAGATCGCAGACAAGATCTAGGGCGCATGTATGTGCGCACATGTGAACGTGTGCATGCATGAGTGAAGATAATCTCAAGAATGCCGCCGTCTTGTCACGCTATGGCCGTGTTTTGCCGCATCTGTAGGCCAGCAAGCACCTCGCCGCTCACCTGTCTCACCACACTGTCTGTTTTCCAGCAGGTCGTCTGGTCTGAAGACAGAAAGCTCCAGAAGATGAGGCAGTAGGACGAAGCACAGTTGGAAGGCATCTGTTCACTGCTGGAAGAGTACAACGAAGGATTCTGAGAAGTTATTAAGAGGTTCCTCAAGAAAAATGATATCATGGAGCCAAAATATTTGCACTTTCTCCTCCCATTGTTAGGCATTTTATAATGTCCTTTGTTCGTGTTGTAAACGTTTAATTAAGATCGACAACTCGTGTCCGAGTGTTGACCAGTTATCCGCTACCGTCCACATTTTCAGCACATCCACACTCACTGCTAATCCAGACAGTATTATGTAGTCGTTTTGTTTATGTCGAATCAAAAATAGAAAAAAAGCAAGCGTTCTATTTTGAAAGACGCTCGTCTTTAAATGTCTTTTGTTGTTTTTGAAAATGTCCGTTCAACCAATATGTTTGCTCCTTTGTTCACCTTGGCAACGGAACTAATGGAGCATTAGTGAAAAAGAAATGGAGTGAAATCTTTTCTGTCAACAAACATTAGCTACGGTCTCTCAGTCTTGCACCTCAGGACACTAGTAATGTACACCCAAACCATCGCCTGAGAATTAGCAGTAAGTTCTACATGGGTTGTTCAGAAGTCACTATCACGCAAAATTAGTTTAGTTGATGTCACGAAACACTTAGCTTGGCTTTGCTTTCTTCAAATGGATTATTCAGTAAGTATGGTGTGTGTCTTACATGCTGGGCAACCGGTGTTGCTTTTTCACAATGTTTTATCAAATCTTGAACATTACAGTACATAAACACTCTAAAAATGCTGGGTTGTTTTAACCCAACTTTGGGTCAAATATGGACAAACCCAAACGTTGGGTTAAAAATGTAATTAAAACATTTTACCCAATGGCTGGGTTTGTCCATATTTGACCCAAAGTTGGGTTAAAACAACCCAGCAATTTTTAGAGTGGGGGTTTCCAATTGCTATAGACTGATAAATGCACGCAACTGGCCTAGTTTAGGATCCATATTTATAATATCCTTTCAAAGTGTAACATTTTTCCATATATCAGTTCTTGGCATACACTAATAGACAATAGTAATACCATTTTTTTTTTTTTTACATGTTGCATGGTATTCTTTGAAGTACTTAGGAGTGACATGTAAACACCATGGAAAATTACAATGTAATCATTCAGTACCACTGTATTTTTTTTTTTTTTTTTTTTTTTCGCATTTTCTTCTCTGGCTAGAAGAGGATTTTCTAAATCAGGAGGTTCACGTAGGTCTAACTATAAATGGAGTGTGTTCGAAAGCAATTTTTTCTCAGCCAATGTAATCAGTTGTGTAGTAGTTATGTCGCAGCAATGAATACGCGAAAAGGGTAATTGATTTTAAAAAAGAAAAGAAATAAATAGATGTATTTACATTGACTCAAAATTACATTCTACAGTACGTCATCATTTACTGGGCTTTGGAAATGATCATTTCTTGTCCATTCCAAAAGCGATACTTTCAACGTCTTGCAAGAAAACAATAAAAATAGAGATATATAAATATATTTACCCCTTATTTCTTTTTCGGTAACTTTCTACTTTAGGAAAGATGTGTTTGTTTTGTGTTTTGTGTGTGTGTGCGCACGTGCGTATCTGTGTGTGAGTGTTACATGTACTTGGAATGGCTTAAAAATTAAAAATGGTCAAGTTGTAAATATTTACATATGTGCTTTTTTTGGGCTTTTCCCCAATTCAATCTTAAAACATTGTTTAGCAAACCCTGAAAGCAATGTCAACATCAATTAGATTATATCTTAGAGTAAATAATTGTAAGTAGACTGTTTTGCTCTCATCATGTCCGTTTTTTTTTCTTTCGAAGTCTGTTCAACACAATGTAAAAATGACAGCCAGTGACAATACACATTTAAAAAAAATAACTGTGTCCATTTGTTTTTGTTTGTTTTTATCTGATAATGTTCATATTTTGCTTATTGGAGTTTAAATCATATAGGACCTTGTGAAAAAGAGCATACCTAATGCGCCAACAGACCTATCACAGATCAGTGCCAGTGCGTTTGATTTCACCGGCAGAAACTTTTTGAAAATATGGACGAAGGTACTGAATACACAGACGGATGCATTATGAAGGATTGGGATTACACATAGTGTCAGCCATCTTTTTTTTTGGAAGCTAAGCTAGCAGGCTCTTGTTCTGTGGAGAAAGCCGAGTAGTAACTTTTTTTCCTGACGTGTCCGCCCATCGATGTCCGGGATTCAGCTTTTGCTTTCTGCAGTCGCCATTCATTGTTTAAAAGCACAGATTTTGTTTCAATCTAACTGAATTCATTGCGATTGGTGAATCTGAATGTAGTGTTTACATGAACGCTAAACAAGTGATCGGTTGATGTGCGTTTTAATATTGCTAAGAAAATCCCCGCTCCTCCGTGAGAGATACGAGACCGGTGCGTCTCACAGGTGTCGCTCATCGGTAATCACGCCACCGGCCTCGCGCCGTTCTCCCGCGGCCCTCACTCGTCCCGCTCGCCACAGTAAACATGATGAACGGCGACTGTAGAACGCAAAAGCCCAATCCCGGACATTTTGGGCGATCTCGAAACACGTTTTTGGACAGACTCATCACTAGTAGCCTAGACTTGTTGTTTATCTACTGAGCTCTGTTACCGGTAGGCGTGGCCTTCTAGGGCTGCGAAGCAAGTGCATTCTGGGAGTTGTTGTCTTTCATCCACATAAGCCAAAAATACATTTTCTGGCTTTTCTCAGTCTAGATAAGCTCCAAATTCAAAAATAATTTCACATTTCTTCTACATAAATGACCTTATTTAAATACACATTCATCTTTCCAGAGATGAAGTATCCCATTAAAGCACGGCACGGAATGATTTCAAATGTATTTTAAAGTAAAACTTTTATTTTGACATTCTTACAAAGTGTACTTTCTTGAAGAACACTTAAGTGGCTTTTTATGTCTTTAATAATGTATTATACCTGCAAGTACAGTTTTGTTATCATTTCAAGTACACAAGTACACATTTAATTAGTAAACTTATTTTTCACATGGCTTTGTCCTTAACTTTAATTTGATGAAATTTTTTTTCTCCATCTCTTTCATCAGTTAATAGGATAACCAGAATTTTCAATGTTAAGTGTGTTTTAAGCAGGCCTGAAGGTTTAATGTTTCACATTCAGTCATAAGTATGTCAATAGTAGTCCTGGGACAACTGAGTTTTTGAATAGAGAAGTAAACACACCCTTGTTCACAGCTGCCCCCCATTTCCTCTTTTACGCCCACCTGAAAAGCAGGTTTCTGCGTCCCCCGAAGTACTTCCAGACCTCAGCTGAGGCCTTGTCACATTTTAAATGTTTCAAATCGTTTGAGCTGTAATCACGGCCAATCTGGAGAGAGGCAGAGATTACTGTTAATGTCACAGATAGACAGAAGATGCCTTAAAAGAAAGGTATTTAGAATGGGAATTGGCCTAAACCATTGCCATTTGAAGGTCCTCTGCAGTGAAGAAAAGGCCACATGTTCAGAATTGTACAGAATGGCAATGGAAGCAAGAACTTCCATAAAAGAGCCAACTTTCTGTTCCCAGGTGCACAACTGATCAGATGTCGTGATGCATATCGAACAAAGAGGATGTGAGATCATTGTTGAAATGCAGTAGAGCATTCAGGTACCAAAGTTTGATCTTCCCTTGGAAGCAGAAGCTCAAAGATAAGTTCTCGAAGACGAGGATGGTGTCAGAGGTGGGGTCAGGGATTTTGCCGATAGCGGGGGTGGAGAAATGAAATAAGGGCTGTAAAGCAGCTGGGATGCATGTGTCTAACATGGACAGATGTGGCATTTGACTTTCAGTGTGAAGTTCAAAAGAATTGTCTAATGACGCAGCTGCTTAGGGATGTGTACATGAAAGAGTGTGTGTGCGGGTGCTTTGCGGAGGAGGATAATAGATTTCCATTCTTCTTAAGAAACCTATTGACTAAAAAAAAACAACTTTGGAATTACTTAGAAATGTCATGTTGAGTGGTTTCATGCTGGTAATTAACTTCGCTCATACTTCATTCATTAAAATATCAATTAAGTGTTTTTCATTTATTATCGTCAAGTTCACATAATGAAGGAAGAAAGGACATAATTATGTACTGAAAGTAGCCATGTAGAAGACAACTACAGTATTTATTACAGGTTATGGTCCTCCGTTTGCGGGAATCAAATCAGCATCCTTCAGATACAGTTACACCACTTTATACTTTAATGTATTAAATGTTTTGGTTGCATATATATATATATATATATACACACACTCTAAAAAATGCTGGGTTGTTTCAACCCAAATTTGGGTCAAATATGGAAAAACCCAAATGTTGGGTTAAAAATGTCATTTAAAATGTTAACCCAATTTCAACTTTCACTTTTTTTTAATCCAACATTTGGGTTTGTCCATATTTGAAACAACCCAGCATTTTTTAGAGTGTATATTTACAAACTGGCTGTATATATAATTTCCTCTTAAATTATATAAAAATGCCAGTTTTAAACATTTTTATGTTGTTTTGACTTATTGATCATATCATCTTTTTTTCTTTTTACAATGTATAGGGTGCCTTGTGAAGGGACAAAAAAATGGGTTTAATACAATAGCCTACTCGCTTATAAGATCAGCCAATTTTTAATTAAAACAAAGCATAACTTTAGACATTCTACTATAAGTAACTTTGCAACTACTTGTCAACTAACTATTAGTAGACCGTCTGCTTATGCCCCAAACAGACATTCTTCTATGTACGTATCTTTGCAAATACATGCCAACTTATTCTACTAACCCAAACCTAACAGTCTAATAATATTCTAATGAGAGTTATTTATATAGTTGTAATTATACACTGTAAAAAATGTTACTGATATTTATACTTAAAAGTTATGGTGACAATATTACACAATATTTTTGATTTCTGAATAAATCATGTAAAATCCCCTTAATTATTTAGTCTATGATACAATGAGTTTAATACTTTTAGTTAATTTTGCTTTTTATTTGAAGTTAATGCTCAAAGGTGTGTGAATTAGAGTGAATGGAAATAATCTTTTTATACTTTGAGTTATATTGCATTATTAAAAGACTGTATGCCACGAGCACAGCACAAAACCAAACTTGTTACTACCATTATAACAAAGTTTTTGCTCAATGAACAATACATCATGTTTCAGAATATCAATTCAAGCCCTCAAAACTTCAACATAATAGAAACTCTTTCAAATGTCAAACAGAACTAAAGATTAAACATTAACAGATGTTTTCCTTTACTCAAAAACACATAAAATAACACTTAATATTTCCTCTCCATTTCTAACCATGTGCAAAGCATGCTGGGTACTAACAATGCATAATTAAGCTAATTCTCTTAAAATAAATTTGTAGCCCTCTTTCTTTAATTTTATCAGTTTAATCGGTTCCTCAGTTCAATTCAATTGTGTTTCCTTAAAAAAATTAGGACAATGTATCTCTTGGTTTTATAGTGAAATGTTCTCAATATTTTCTATACAACACTGAACCACAATTTTCTTCTAAAATATACACAATATTTTTAATTATCACCATTTTTTAATGCAAATTAAGACCCATGATTCATTTTTTACAGTGTTGTTAGTACATTTTATAATTATGAGTATGTTGAGTGTATATTATATGGGTTTGTACAAATCCAGAATTTAAAATCCTCAAAATGACCACAAGGCATTTTATGTTGAATTAGAATGACAGAAACATAAGAGAAACATCAGAATTTATTAGTCCAGTGTTTTTTGTTTTTTTTTGTTTAGTTTTTTTTGGATGATTATACCTATTTTTTTTTTGCAAAATGCATGTTTTTTGAAGACTTTTTGGGTAAATTAAACAATCCGTTCTTTGAAAGACTGTTCTTTCTTTCATTATAAGCTGAAAGTCCGATATAAAAGTAAAGTTAACGACTTTTCAGCAGCTAGTGCGAGCTACAAAAACTGTTTTACTGTATTTCAATGGACTAAAGAGAAATAAACCCGATTTGATTAAAAGAAATGGAGCGTTTAATGCTTTTTATGCACTATTTTTTAGGACTTAGTCCAAATGTTGTGATTCACTAGTGTGAAATAAGGATCTTACAAGCAGTTCCACACATGTGCAAAACTCTGTAAGCCATTATAAAGCACATTAGAGCTCACGGAGGGCAGTCATTTAGACAATAATGCTCTTAAGTTAAAGCAAAATACCTTGTGAAATTAGAAAGTCGCATGTTAGGTCTAGCGGCGTGAACCATTTGTGTGTAATACACTGCTGTCTGTCTGTCTGGAGCAGCACCTGCCTAACAGGCCATGCTCTCCGGGGTCAGGGGTCACCTACCAGGAGGGCTAAAACTGAGGTCAAAGGTCATACCCCAGACAGGCGTGATGTGTGATTGAGAACACAGCTGGACTAATTAGGGCAGGTGTCTGTCCTTTTTTACCCTTCATCTTGAGCTACACATCCAAATGGAATACTAAAGTACTATAGATAGATAGATAGATAGATAGATAGATAGATAGATAGATAGATAGATAGATAGATGGATGGATAGATGGATGGATGGGTGGATGGATGGGTGGGTGGATGGATGGATGGATAGATCATACATTTCGAAAATCATAATTTTCTCTTTCATTATTATTATTTTTTTTTGGTCTACTAAAATAACTGAAAATAAACCAAATGATCTGTTTGTGATGGAGAGGTAATTTATTACACGCTCGTTTGGGATTTATACTCTTTTGGGTTCAGCTTTGGAACATCTGTATTTTATTATATTTTGGATTGGAAGAAAATTCTGATTGTCTCAAATTTTCGCATTTGGATCAACAATTTTATCACCAGTTTGGAAAAGATGGAAAATATTTTCTGCTTGTGAATTTGAGTAATTTCTGTAGTAAAAAAGGGTTGGGTATTAGGCCAGATGCTTTTAATCACATAATCCACTCTCACTCACTGCGAATCATTAACTTTAGTCCAGCTTTATTCTAAAAACAATGAGTACTGCTACAAAGTCTAGACTAACAGAATTTATTTTGTTTAGTTATTATGCTGATTTATGCAATGTACAGATGAAATGATTCAAATTGAATAGCAGCAACTTTACCGTCTCTGTGGCAGTGTTTATAGAAGGGCAAGTCATTCAGTGTGAGCGTGGGCCCCCTGTTGGGGGACAACTGAAAAAACATGTGTCCAATTTAACTTTTGGCTTCTGATAGGAGAATGAAAGTCAAAGTAACATTGAGTTAAAAAATCCACTTTCTCAAAACTCCTTGAAATGAAATCAGTGAAGCAGTTAAATCAGAATTTTATTTCAATCAATCTAAGCACAATGAAACAGGATAGCTGGGTGGATGACGAGTGAGTCACATGCTTCAGTGAGGTTTACCCCTGAGGGCACACACAGGCCACTCTGCCTTTATAGTGTTCTCACCCACTTTATGGCCATGCTGTTTCTGCCCACTTGTGATGTGGTCTGTGCGCAGGAATGCCTCTTCACCTCTCTTCATTATCCTACTGTGTTTGGCCTCCCCTTTTTATTCTCTTGGATTGGCTGCTCGTATGGGAATTCTTCCCCTCCCAATTGGCTTCATTTCCTCAGTGCATATGAAGTGTACAGTAAATCTGTGGTCTTAATGAGTAGATAAATCTGGCTACAGATGAAGCGGCCCACATGTTCAACTCCAATTGGTTTGTTTTCTATATGGCTTTTTTTTCACACGATAAGGATTCCTTGTCTCAGATTGAACAGTTGATTCATTTAGGAAAAGATAACTGTGTGATGTGTAGGAGTCTAGATTGAGATAAATTATTCATTACAGCACATGGGGATTTTATCTTTTGCAAGTGCAAATTCGCACATTTGAAACGTGTTTGGGGTGCTTCTGTTCTTTTATTATACAAGGAGTCTTGAATGTATGTCTCTACTCATTATTTTTTATAATTTATTAAATAACGAATCTAAAAATGTAGGAGTGCACGGAGGCGGCATTCTCAAAGTCCGTGTCCAGATGGCTATTCACCATTTAACCCCTCAGAATTAAATGTAGCCAAAGAAGTAGTCACGATATACTAATGGCTTTGATTTAAGCAATTTTGAGCGTGGCATGGTTGTTGGTGCCAGACGGGCGGTCTGCTCAGTTACTGGGATTTTCACACACAACCATTTCTAGGGTTTACAAAGAATGGTGTGAAAAGGGAAAAACATCCAGTATGCGGCAGTCCTGTGGGCGAAAATGCCTTGTTGACGCGAGAGGTCAGAGGAGAACGGGCCGACTGATTCAAGCTGATAGAAGAGCAAATTTGACTGAAATAACCACTCGTTACAACCGAGGTATGCAGCAAAGCATTTGTGAAGCCACAACATGCACAACCTTGAGGCGGATGGGCTACAACATCAGGAGACCCCACCGGGTACCACTCATCTCCACTACAAATTGAAAAAAGAGGCGACAATTTGCAAGAGCTCACCAAAATTGGACATTTGAAGACTGGAAAAATGTTGCCTGGTCTGATGAGTCTCGACATTCAGATGGTCGAGTCAGAATTTGGCGTAAACAGAATGAGAACATGGATCCATCATGCCTTGTTACCACTGTGCAGGCTGGTGGTGGTGGTGTAATGGTGTGGGGGAGGTCTCCATGTCTTCACAAATCTCCATCAACTGCAAGATGCTTTCCTATCAATATGGGCCAACATTTCTAAAGAATGCTTTCAGCACCTTGGTGAATCAATGTCACATAGAATTAAGACAGTTCTGAAGGCGAAAGGGGGTCAAACACAGTATGGTGTTCCTAATAATCCTTTAGGTGAGTGTACATTCATAATATGTTTTCAGTTGTGCCACCCTGACAGACAAATTGTTGGACAAAAGTTTTTAATTATATCAACAGCGTTAAACTACTGTTATTTATCCGTTTTCAAACCTAAAGTGATGCCATAGTATTTTGTTTCAAATTTGTTATTGTTAAGACACAATTGCAAATAGTTTCTTAGTCTGTTTATTTGTTCGGAACGTTGCACCACCTGACATTTTGGGGGTTTAATTATTATTAAAAAATTATTTAAATGTCCTATAAATAAGTTTCATTGATTGATATTGAAGTGGTATATGTCATGAATTTATCACGTTTATCAAATAGGTGATGCAGAAGTTCATTTAACAACAGCAAATAAAAAATCGAGCGATGAGTCAAAATGAATGGACACTGTTGACAGAACATATCGAATTTCAAACATTAATTTGGCAAAAAAATGTCATTGCTCAACAGTGAAATGAAAACAACTGAAACATTTGCATACATTGCAAATCGGTTCAAACACTCACACATTAACTGAACTAAACCCTAAAGGTTGTGAATTGTTGCATGTTCATGTGAAATGCATGAGACCTATACTGACTCACTCATAGATACACAATAATACGTATGCACTAATCATACAGCTCTGCTGGCTGTGTTACAGCGGTCAAAGCAACAGTGGCACCATCGAATCAGTCTGCATTAAGCAATATGAGGCAACTTTTGACAATATCTAACATTCACATCCACATAATGGAGTCCAAAGTCTGACACTACAAAAATGCTTGTATTTTATATTATGTTCTACCTCAATATAGACAATACATAGACAACTAATAGTTTGTCCGTCAATTATATATCAAACAATATTCCTGAGCATAAGTACTGACTTTATATATGATGTAGTTGTTGTTTGACGTATGTCATGAGGTTATTTATTTGTTGTGTGCTGATGTTAACTCATCTTTTATTGAGATTAAGTGTTTATTTATGTGTTTATAATGTGTTTTGAGGCAAAATATCCCTAATGCTGGCCTGGTCAAAAGGCCCAGAGCTGCATGAGCAGTGAAGGTTCATTGCTGCAATTCCATCAGACTCGGCTCAAATTCACCAGGCCGGTGTGACTTCATCGAGGCTCTCAGGGGTCCCAGAGACGGTGGTGTGAGTCCCGGTATGTGCAGGGGTGTGAGGGACGGCTCGACGTAGGTGGAAGGGGGAGGAAAGTTTCAGAGACAGTTTGGGATAGATGGATGCCATCCTGCAGAACGCCGGTCACCAATGGTGCTTCAGTGAGGTGTAATTTCATGGATGAAGTCAAGACATACACAAGAGGTGCCAGGGAACAGTGAGGACATTTTTGAGCCACTGTCAGCCATTTCTGAGCAGAGCTGTTGGCATCCACAACCGATCCCGACTGTTACACACCGGTAAGCGATATGTCATTTTGTTATTGAAGAGAACTTGTCAGCACAAATACTTCATTGACTTTTTTTTGGGGGAATAAAAACAATAACTCTGCATGTAATAAAGTGAAGTGATATTAGACATTTGAATAGTTTGAAAGTGCTAACTCCACAGTGCATCTGATGCTCATGTTACACTGTAAATAAAACAATATTAGAGAGTAGATTTTGCAAGAAAATACTATTTCAGTCTTTCTACTTCAAAATTTCACATTTATTTCAACACTGTAAAAATGGCTTTTTTAAGTTATACAAAATTCAACTAATTTAAGTCGAAATGACTTAAACTTCCAAATTGATTTATTTAAATTATTAATTTTAATTTAAAGGGACAGTTCACTTTGAAATTAATTTTTGGTATGTTTTAGCTTACCTCAAGGGCATCCAAGATGTAGGTGTCTTTGTTTCCACAGCATTTTCAATTTTCATATTTTTAGGTCAAACCATTCTTGTCTGTCAGTCATACAATGAGGTAAATGGGGTCCACAGAGAAGTCCAAATTAAACGTGATTTAATGACTTGTAAATGTAAGTCCACATTGATGGCCTAAGATACGAAACGAGCGGTTTGTGTGAGAAAACGAACAGTATTTATATCATTTTTACCTCTTGTAACCACAGCCATGTCCAAGTGATCTGAAGGCACGGGCGCTTCGGTTTGCGCAATTGCTGGAAAGTGCCGGAAGTGATCTCGTAAATTCGTGTCTTAGGCCATCAATGTGTACTTACATTTACAAGTCATTAAATCATGTTTAATTTGGACTTCTCTGTGCACGCTCTTTGAGGTGGTGACCATACACCTGCATTATATGACTGACAGACAAGAACGGTTTGACCTAAAAATATCAAAATTGAAACTGCTGTGGAAACAAAGACACCTACATCTTGAGGTAAGCTAAAACATACCAAAAATTAATTTCAAAGTGAACTATCCCTTTAAGGCAGCAACTTTTCTCACAGTGTATGCTTTACTTGCAGATTTATTTACTCGCAATTATGATTGAAAATTGTATCTCCACAATTTTTTTCATTGTACACATCTCATGATGGTGTAAGTAATCTACTTTAGGTGAGTTAACTGAATTCATGTGGTATTTATTTCTTTAATCCAAACACGAACAAATTAAACAAAAACCTGGCCAGACACATAAAACTCACCAAATAGTGGTTACACAAACAAAGCTATAGGCAAGATACAATGGAAACATGAGCGCTACTCATACAACAAGACTAATGACTAACAAGAAACACCTGTGAGCAGTAAAGATGATCAACCACTCAAAACATGACACATGAGACAAGGGAAGCACAAGATATGATCACATGACAAGAAACCAGGAAGCATAACAGTGAGAATTACAAAATAAAAGACATGAGACTACAACAAACCCGAAACCAACCCTAACAATCGATATGAAAGAACTTAAAAATCATTAAATACATATTGCATTATATATTTCAATGGTTGGACCATTTTCATAATTTGTTTTCACTTCAAAATACAGTGCAAGAAACTCAATGTAAAAATGCATTTTCTCCCCCTTCATTTTAGGCGGTGAGATTCATTCAAGGCCGATGACTTTTAAAGAGGTTAGTGCATATCAGTAACTCATTCATTTCACCCTTTATAATAAACCATAGGCAAGATATACCTGGGTATGTCGTTCGAGCACTACCAAGAATGTCTTGTATGTGTTTGCCCTGTTGAATCAATAAACCTTCTCCTTGGCCTCAGAATCAGCTGACCGTCCCGCTGCTGACCTCCATCGTGGCGGCGGTGCTCGGCTCCCTCCAGATAGGATACCACACAGGCAACATCAATGCCCCTGCCCGAGTGAGTAGAGTTGACTTTTCGGGGCCAGCCGCTGGTTAGCATGATTTCTCAGTTTACATACAAACTTCTCAGTGCCCTCATATAACACTGAATAAACTTTACCAAGTCACAGAATATTTCTCTTCGGCCAGCATTGGATTTGGAACGCTCCATTTGCGCCCAGGTAGCTATGATGTCTAGCTTGTGTTGATTTATCGTCTGTGTGTGGATATAGTCCAGTTCCCTCCGGTTGTTTTTTCATTACGAAAACATTGGGACTGGTCTCAAGATATTAGTCATGTCTTTCAAGCAGGTGAAATTCAGAGTAAAGTATTAAAATTACAGGCTGCTCTGAGTTTGGGTCAGTGTTAGCATTACGTATGCTGTTTTCTTGTTGATGTATTATGAAGTGTCTGAAATGAAAGTATTGACTATGCCAAATGCCTATATTTAGTGTGTTCGTGCACAACTGTTTTCCTGAATCAACAATGGTTGTCGGACTTTACTTTAATGCATGTTGTGGTACATGTACTGTATTTTATTTTCACCCTTTTGGTTTTCTTTCATTGAGGTCATTGAGGAGTTTTTCAACTCAACGTGGAGATCCAGACACAATCAGTCAATCCCAGAGCACAGCCTCACGTTCCTGTGGTCCCTCTCTGTTAGTGTTAAGGACTTTGGAGCACTGCTTGGTTCACTTGGGGTCAAAGGTCTTGCTGACACTTTTGGGAGGTGAGAAAACTTTTGCTTCAAGAATCCCACTCTCAGGGGGGTAAAAAAATTTCATTTGTCTCTGAATATTTCTCTACATAGGTGTATGTATGTATGTATGTATGTATGTATTAGGATCAAATATTGCAGACATATAGCATTAGGGTCCATCTACCCACCCACCCGTCTGAACACCCACCCACCCATCCATCCATGCATCCGTCCATCCATCCACCCGCCAACCCACCCACCCATCCGTCCATCCACCCATCCGTCCATCCATCCACCTGTCCATCCATCCATGCGTCCGTCCGTCCAAGCACCCACCCACCCGTCTGTCCGTCTGTCGAAGCACCCATCCATCCATCCATCCGTCACTCCGTCCGTCCGTCCATCCTCCCACTCACCCATCAATCCGTCCATCCATCAACCCATCCATCCCGCCCACCCACCCACACATCCGTCCGTCCATCCATCTGTCCATCCATTCACCCACCCACCCATCAATCCATCTATCCGTCCGTCCATCCACCCATCCGTCCATCCATCCATCCATCCATCCATCCGTCCGTCCGTCCATCCATCCATCCACCCGTCCATCCATCTGTCCATCCATTCACCCACCCACCCACCCATCCATCCATCCGTCCACCCACCCATCCATCAATCCATCATCCATCCGTCTGTCCGCCCATCCATCCATCCACCCACCCATCCAACCATCCATCCATCCATCCATCCATCTATCCATCATCCATCCATCCGTCTGTCTGTCCATCCATCCATCCACCCACCCACCCATCCAACCATCCATCCATCCATCCATCCATCCATCCATCCATCCATCCATCCATCTATCCATCATCCATCCATCCGTCTGTCCGTCCATCCATCCATCCATCCACCCACCCACCCATCCAACCATCCATCCATCCATCCATCCATCCATCCATCCATCTATCCATCATCCATCCATCCGTCTGTCTGTCCATCCATCCATCCACCCGTCTATCCATCTGTCCATCCATTCACCCACCCACCCATCCATCCATCCGTCCACCCACCCATCCATCAATCCATCATCCATCCGTCTGTCCGTCCATCCATCCATCCGTCCACCCACCCACACCCCCATCCGTCCGTCCGTCCATCCATCTATATTCGCACATCCATCCAATCCCATCCATCCATCAAGAACCCATTGGTAGAATGTCTGTTTGGGGAGCATCAAAATAAAGTGTTAGTAGGTAATAAGCATACAGTCTACTAATACTCTAATGAGAGTTCGTTGACATATGCCTGCAAAGGTACTTGCATTTAGCAGAATATATAAATTTACCAAACTTTTTAAAAGTCACTCCTTTGATTTTTTTTTTTTTTTGTTCCATAACCCAAATGTAATCCAGAGTGAAATAGCTACTGATAAAGAGAAAGTATATTATTAATTGGCCCACCCACAGTAGTCCAGTATGTGATTGCTATTTTGAAATAATTCTGTCAATACATTTCCTTGCAGGCGTAATGCAATTCTGATAGTGAACGCTTTATCAGTGGTGGGCGCCTCTCTGATGTTCATGAGCAAAGCCACAGGGTCATTTGAAGTGCTTATCATGGGTCGGCTGATCTTTGGTTTGTTCTGTGGCCTGGTGATGAGTCTGAACCCGCTGTACATTCAGGGTGTCTCGCCCACAAACCTCCGTGGTGCCTTTGCAACTCTGAACCAGGTCTCCTTCGCCTCAGGCATTCTGCTGGGCATGGTGAGACACACCTGCTCCCATTCCGTTTCCAGCTTTGCCCTTAAAAGTTACGTGAATCGTAAATACAGGCCTGGATCTCATCAATGCAAGCCTGATGGTTTGTTGTGTGTGTGTGTATATCTTAGGTGGTGGGCTTGGAAACGGTATTGGGTACAGAGAAATACTGGTCCCTGATGTTGTCTCTGTCCCTTATTCCTGCAACGCTCCAGTATATAAGCCTTCCTTTTTGCCCCGAAAGCCCCCGCTTCCTCTTCATCAACAGGGGCAAAGAAAAAGAAGCAGAGGCGGGTGAGTTAATCACATGTTGACCCATGACTGACTTAGAACAGAAGTAAACATGTTGAGGAGAAGTTCGATCCAGCAGACCAGCATCCTTTTTTCTTTCTTTCTTTTGTCAGCCCTGAGAAAACTTCGGGGAAATCCAGAGATGGTGATGAAAGAAATGGAGGAGATGAGAGAGGAAGCCGCACACAGTGAAACAGGAGTGACTGTGAGAGAATTCCTCAAGAAGAAGCGCTACAGGCAGCCGATAATACTTGTGCTCGTCATAAACCTGGGCAGCCAGTTATCTGGATTCAATGCGGTTGGTGTTCCAGCTGAAAAAAAATCATTCCTTTGCCTGAATGTCCATCAATGCAATATCTGATTTAAGCATGAACATATTTCTAAGCTACATTTTGAGTTATGATTCATGATATGTGTAACGCCTTTTATTCCTCTTTCCATCTCCATAAGTCTGGTGATGGCAATTTCAATTTGAGCCAGACCGATATATCGGCAGACCGATATTATTGGCCAGTTCGGCAGTTATAATGGCAGATAAATGAATATTCCAAAAATAAAATAAAAACGGACGAAACACGCTTGAAGCATGTCATGAGTGTTGGAGTTGTATAGTTTTTCCACCAGAGGGCACTCTACACCGTTCCTGTTGGCAACATTCGTTGAGTTGGTCACGAGACATACATTGCTTGAATAACAATTTAAAGAACATCCCCATCAGTTCTCTTAACTCAAATAAGCATGACAAAATTTGTGACTATCATGTCCAGTTTTAAATAAATAAATAAAATATCGGCAGATATATCGGATTTTAAAACCCCAAAATATTTGTATCGGTATCGGCCTTCAAAATCCTTTATCGGTCGGGCTCTAATTTCAATGGATGGGGCTGAAAATATTTCCTTCTTAGTCGTAGTTAAATGCAAGGCTTGACGTACACACTATTTTTGTATATGATTCAGTTGACACATTTCACTTGTAGCCTACTTGAGCATTTATTTTTACCCCATCTTTTAGCGGTCCAATGTCTCTAGAAGAAGTGCTGCATTCCATATTAAAGCCAATTTCAGTGCCAATTCCACTAAAGTTCTTTTCATCAAGAACCTGATCTTAAATTAAAACAAGCTGAATGTGCTTATAATGTTTTCTCGTAAGTACAATTGCCCAGAATAACTCTTTCCCGTGTCTCTTACTTTTCTTCCAGATCATAAATTATTCCACAAAAATGTTTGCCCAGTCCAATTTTGATGAGGCCAAATATCTGACACTAGGGGTTGGGGCCGTCAATGTGGCATTCACCATAGTAGCAGTGAGTATTCATTACATGTACTGTTATTTGTTCAAAGAATCCTTATTTTAGGTCTTAACTCAGTAATCAGTATACTTTTACGTCTCGAGTGTGTGTAAGCGCCCTCAATAGAAACCAATGCAGTATACACTGGATGCGGCGAGGGTTCGAAGCTACACAACACATTACCTACAGTAAACTGATCGCCCATGCGCTCTGTTTCTGACGCACTTCACATTTGGTTTTACTTTCTGCTACAGACATAACATACAGAGGTAAAAAAAAAAAAACGCTCGTTGGGCTCTCGCGTCGGAATTTGAGGAAGTGGGGGAAGTGACATAAGCCGTAAAGCAGTCGAATTTTGTAGTTCTTTTTGTGCTCGGGTTCCTACCCGCTCCCCAAATTTACAGAATGCCAGTAAAAGCGATACCGACACTGTCAGGCTATGGCAGACCTGTCATTCAACCTATTGTAAGTCGATGTACCATCTCAAGGGTTTTGGAAAAATATTATAAAGGTTAAAAAAAAATGCATAGTGCTACTTTTAATTGATCTTATTCCTTTATAGCCGCGGTACTTGCGTGTGATGCTGATATCTGTCTCTTAATTAGCAATCGCGCCCTGCTTCATACCACAGTCATGATAAAAACAACAATGTATTCACTCATCCATAAACATTATCAGATCCATAAGCTTGACGACAAATTCCATAATTCCGCAGGAAATTTTGCGTCATCAACCTACGCCTTTGTCATTGCACGAGGTTGGCGACCAATAGCGGCGAAAAAAATTACATATTGTCTCTTTAAATCATTTGATCACGAGATTACATGAAAAGTGCTATTTAGCTCTAAAATGTATTGTAGAAAAAGTTTCTTCGAGCCCCTTAAAAGACTTTAAAACCACTTAACTGTCACCGTCCCACAGGTGGGACGTTTGCCACTATATTTTTAAAACAATAATATCTTAGTAAATACCTTAAATAATATTGACAAACTATATATCATTTGAAAGCTTACAATCTCTAGTTTCCATATTTGGTGACTGATTTTCAAAATATATTACAGAGGAGCCATAATTTATCAATATAAAACAAGAATATTTTCATACTCATAAGGCGTGTTCAGACCTTTATTTTAAAATAGCAGTAAACATGAAAAATCATGAAAAAATGGTAGATACCTCAGTTTGTTTTCATGCCAAAAGTTCAAAAGATAGAATCCATTCAATTATTTTGGAAAAAAAAAGGTCTGAAAAGTTTAAAATATCAAGAAAAAATAAATAAATTCACCATTTGTGACGTGGCAGCTAGCTATGACTTACATGCGTGTTCTTTGTATGTGTTTCTTAGAGGTTCAATTCATATCAAAATCTGCCAAACTTCCCATGCTACTCCTGAATAGGATCTCTACTTCAGAAATTGTATGAAAATTGTGAAAATAGTGGTTCATATCACTCAAAACACGAATGGAAATGCAGGCGCCCTTATATGGGCAGTAATGGAGTCTGATTGTGCCCTAGTGAAAAAGTTTGGTACTGCGCTCAAACAAAATCTTACTGAAAGCTCATTTTTTGAGATATCAACCTAAAATTTGAAACACAACTTGTTCAGATTTTTGGCTTTGATCTTTCTGACATTTTAGAGTAGCCCAGGTTTTGAAAATATATATTTTATGTAAAATATGAATAATTAATATTTTTACATTGTACATTTCCATAAACTCAAACTTCTATAACTTTTTTTCTGTTTCACTTTCTTAATTTATTTCACTTCTACAAAAATCTGCCAAATGTCTTCTTTAAAACAAGACCAATCATATGTCTATATTCCAAAGCATTCTTGAATTACAACCATTTAAGTTCGAAATGTGCATTTTCATGTCTATTCAAAAAAGGGGGGGTGACAGTTAACAGGTTAAAGGTAAATCATTGAAATAAAATAAATGTTTTTCCCCTCTGCAAAGTTCTTTTTGGTGGAGAGAGCGGGACGCAGGAAGTTGTTGCTCGCTGGATTTCTGTCACTAGCGCTCTGCAACCTACTTATGACCATCACATATTCCATAATGGTGAGATTGAGCATCCATCTTGTGTCCAAAAACACCAGACATGAATCAAACTTCTTGACTTTTACTCGTCTCTCTTCTCGATCCTCAGAACGTAGTTCCAGGCATCCGTAACATTCAGGTGCTGGTGGTTTTCTTCCTGATCTCAGCTTATGAAGTGGGGCCTGGGCCAATCTCTTGGTTCATTGCCGCTGAGCTTTTTGACCAGTCGGCTCGTCCCATTGCCATGGCCTTCACTAGTATGCTCAACTGGGGTGGGAAGTTTTTACTAGCACTGCTCTTTCCAGCTCTTCTGGTATGTGCATCTCTTATTCTCGCAAACAAGATCTGGATTGCACACTTATATAATAGTTTACTTTAACAGCTGAACCTTGTTTGCAGAAACTGTGTGGGGCGTACGTCTACCTCCTCTTCATGTGTATGGCCTTGTTCGCCTTCACCTACACCATGTTTCGTCTTCCTGAGACCAAGGGACGCACTTTTGATGACATTGCGGCTGAATTTCGTGGGGCCGAAGGCATTCCACTACATGACAAGACCACATTTAACACATTTACCTGATCACTTTAAGCTTTTGGGTTTTGGGACCAGTAAACACTGATCAACTCAAATGCAACTGGTGTGTTTATGCAACATATATATATCAAGGATTCTGCATTGGATAGCTAATAAGGCAAAGTTATATTCTAAAACACGTAGACGTTTTAAGACAAAACATAAACTTTATAAGTTTTAATCGCACTGTGAAATCTCTCTGGTTTGTGCACTCTTGCCACAAATCTATGTGTTTATCCAAGTTTACCAAACAATCTGACTGATGATATTGACCGGTATAATAGCAGCAAAACTACTTGATAAATATTTGTTAGGACATCCCTGTAAACTGTTTTTGATTTATATGCACTCCTTGAGATATTTACAATGGGTTTCGCAACACTCCACAGTTTTTTTCCCATTTTAAAGTTGATGGAATATGTGAATATGATTGTAAACGTGAAATAAAAGATTGACCATTTCAGTATTTTGGTCCAAATTACCAAGAAGTGCAACACATTGCTCTTATTTACCTCTCTCGTACCTCTCTAAATTCGGAAACATCCAGAAAAAAGTGAAGACATGACATTGTCGACATCTTGTGAACTCAAAGAAGAAGAAAAACTCGCTCTCTTGTTGCATGTTGTCATAACACGCTAATTACAAGATTACAAGAACAGAGAGAATTTCTCGTTAGCAGAACCCATTAAAAAAACACAAACACGGTCTTCACTGTAGAACAATGAAACGCCCTCGAAAGAAGCCACAGAGTTTTACAGCTCAATTAAGTAGACTTGTAAAATAGCAGCATTTCTTAACAGTCCCTCATAGTCCAATAATGAGAAGCGTTTGAAACTGTCAGCTTTCGTGAGGAGATCCAGTCACTTAGTCATGTGAAGCATGTGCTTGTTATACCTAATTACTTTCCATGAAAATAAGCAGCAAACCGCCAGCGATATTTAATCTAATGTAAACTACACTGAGCAAAAAACTATGGGTCACTCAGAGGGCAGACCTTTGAATTTTGGCTTGCATCTGAAATGTCAATTATACTGCTTTCTTAAGACAAAAAGCAAACTTATTGAGGAAACATATTACAAAAAAATGGAATAAATCAAACAGATTGAAATGAAGATATAAGTATCTGGACACTTTCTGCTTGACAAACATCAATAGAACATGTTTTCTGATCAAAATTTTTTCCTTACTATCAATGTTTTGTTTTCCACAATCATTCTGTGGTTTTGAAAATTTATTTAAATCATGGCGAATTTGTTGTTACACTGAAAAAAGTATTGTTGGTTTAACTTACAAAATTAACCTTAAAATTTTAAGTTCATTGAAATGGAAAAAAATGAGTTAATACAATGAAGGAAATTGATTTAATCATCAGAAACTCAAAATAGTATGTTATCTGAACTACATAAATTATTTAAGTTGATTTGACAAAAGAAAAAAATGTTGTGATTACATTACAAATCATGAAAATATTTTTTTACAGTCAGTTTCTGGGTCAAATCAAATGATTGGGTCAACTACTGTACAACTTCATACTGTATGTATTCGATGCCAACTACTATAATTATATAATTGAGTCAAAAAAGATTTGTTCAAATTGTTCCTGATATTACCAGTTCCTTTGTCAAGCATAGCATCATGGGACACACGACATGTGCTGTTGTATGGCAATCCATCGTTGAACTATCATCCAGGTAATGTATAGAGAAAATATTCTGCAGTAATGGTATGTTGTAGTATGGATGTGTGCTATTTGGTTTTTCCTTATGAATTATTTTCCTTACAGCTGATAACACCTGTCATTTTAAATGAAAACAATAGGGGGAGCTCATGACCTATTATTTATTGTTGAAGAGAAAATGTAGTGTCCCATTATAATAGATTCTTATTTACAAGTTTTTTAGATTTCACTGGGGCTGTACCTTTTCAAAAGGTAAACTTGTCCATTTTAGGTGCTAATATGTACATTTTAAGTGTTAATATCTATAAAAAAAAAACAACAAAGAACAGACTCAGTGGTAGTGATGTCACATCCTGTGCCTCCCCATTAAAGCATTCATGATTTCCTTCTATTTATGGCATTTCTAGTCTAGCCAGAGAACTAACATGATTAAGCTAATAATCATTAAACTGATAATTCTGCAACATATTTCAGGTAGGATGTCATTAACTTCCTATTTCAATGTTTTGGACTTAACTGGGAAAAAAAATCAAACTAATTTATCTGTATTTTTCAGAAGCCAGTGATGTTACGCAGACTCCAGTATTATGGGATCCACTTGGCGAATCTGCACAAATGAACTGCAGTCATACTAAGGGTTCTTCCTATTTCTACATGTACTGGTTCCGACAACGGCAGGGAGAGACCATGAGACTCATTGCGTTCACGATGACGAACAGCAAGCCAGACTTTGGTGAATTTTCTCCAGATAAATACTCAGCTGATAAGCCTGTGGCTGAACGTGGATCTTTCACAGTGAGTAAGCTGGAGCCTGACGACAGTGGTGTGTATTTCTGTGCAGTGAGTGAACACAGTGACACAGACTTGCTCTGCTGCTGTACAAAAACCTATCACAAAATGACAACATCATAACTTCCTCAACTTCACAACATACCATAAAACGACACTGCAGTGTATAAACCACAAAGAACTTTATTATGTATGCGACCAGGCTACAAATAATGTGACTTTTTAGAAAAATATATATAATATGTACATACAAAATGTATAAATGAGGAACATCACAAGCCATTTATTTACACAGCAAGTTCATAAAGTAGGGATGTCCCAGTTCTGTCCTGCAGTTCAGATCCAATCCCAATGAAACACACCAGGATCAGCTGTTCAAGCTCTTAGCAGGCATGCTAGAAACTGCAGGCTGGTGTGTTGAGGCAACTCTCAGGACAGTGGCCCTCCAGGACCGAGTTTGGACACCACTGTCAAAAAGCAAGTCAATGAATGAATCAAAAAAGAAATATGTAGCTGAAAATCCTCTATATGAAATAATAACTACATAGTATATGTACTAATTATGCATAAAAACATGCAAGGTCATGTAGCAGAGTCTTTCCCTACATACATTTGAGTTGCAATAAGACATGAATCCAGCAGATGGCACTGACATATAACATTACCAATGTTATGGCTCACAGAAATCAAATTGCTGAAACATCTCAGTTAGTTAGAGGAAATATAGTGTCACACGATTTTTTTGTAACCTCGTGGATCTAGTTCTTCTAGACATCCACATTTTTTGTTATTTAGTTGTCATTATACTAATGCCTCTATGTGCTGCTGAGAAGTAGTAGGTGTAGAGTAGAGGCTTCTGTCACTTTTTTTAAAAGAAAAAGTCAGTACATGAAAAAGTTTGTCACACCTAGTTGGAAAAGTTCCTTGTAGCAAATTAAATGGTAGTTAACTACAAGTAATATTCAAGCAGTTAACTACAGTACAAGTAACATTCAAGCAGTTAACTACAGTGCAAGTAACATTCAAGCAGTTAACTACATTACAAGTAATATTCAAGCTGTTAACTGCAGTACAAGTTGTATTTACGCATTTAACTACAAGTAATATTCAAGCAGTTAACTACATTACAAGTAATATAATACAGTACAAGTTATATTTACGCATTTAACTACAAGTAACATTCAAGCAGTTAACTACAGTGCAAGTAATATTCAAGCCGTTAACTTGGGTACAAGTAATATTTAAGCAGTTAACTACAAGTAATTTTCAATCCGTTAACTACATTACAAGTAATATTCAAGCCGTTAACTACAGTACAAGTTATATTTACGCTGTTAACTACAAGTAATATTCAAGCCGTTAACTGCAGTACAAGTTGTATTTACGCATTTAACTTCAAGTAATATTCAAGCAGTTAACTACAGTACAAGTAATATTCAAGCAGTTAACTACATTACAAGTAATATAATACAGTACAAGTTATATTTACGCAGTTAACTACAAGTAATATTCAAGCCATTAACTACAGTACAAGTTATATTTATGCATTTAACTACAAGTAAGCAGTTAACTACAAGTAATATTCAAGCAGTTAACTACATTACAAGTAATATTCAAGCCATTAACTAGGGTACAAGTTATATTTAAGCAGTTAACTACAAGTAATATTTAATCCGTTCACTACAGTGCAAGTAATATTAAAGCAGTTAGCTACAAGTAATATGCTTATGTAATCTTGTAATTGCCATCTGTTCTCTTATTATTTGTGAAACTGAGTTCTAAAATAAATACAAAAGCAATGGCTTCATGATGTAATGTTTAATTAATCTGTATTGTAGAAACTAAATATTTGGGCAATATTTAATGGGATGAGGTAAAGGGGATGCATCTCTGATGACATATCATTGCTAAAGTTATGCAACTATTTACTACAGTGCAGCTTAATAATTGTTTTCGCAATATTCATGCATTTATCTCTGCATCTCACATATCCAAGTTGAGTTACTAATATCAAAGTATATATTTTTAACAGAGAGCCAATCAAACACCTAGCAATTCAAAATATAGAAATGCACTGCTGTGATTGCTCAAACCACATAAGATGGTTATTTTTCATGTATACTTGGATGTAATTATGTCCTATATTCAATCTAACTCTAAATTCACCTTATTTTATTGTAGTGAGCAAGTAACACACTCACCGTCTTTTTTCCCTTAATGAGTAAAAATTGATTGCCACTTTGTATAAACATATACTTACATTAAAGTATACTTTATACACGAACATCCCCCTTGACAAACCTGGGGTTCAGTGTCGTTCTCAAATCAAGTGCTGATAGTCGATGGATTTCCCCTAGACCAACCTCGATCTTTATCCACTAAACTACAGCACCCAACCTCGCCTCTAGAGGCACACCGTGTTTACTTAAGCCGCAAGACTTTGCTATTTGCCATAGAAGTTCAGCTATTCATGATGCATTTGCATTTTGCTATTTTTTTGGTATCATTACAATGGCCTGCCAATATGTGTAAGCTGTTGATTTGCTCAAAACCAGCTTTGCAATGTTTTAAATCTTAAAATACTCATTCAAATTCTTTTTATCTCAGGTCTGCAGGTAAACCAAACCCCATTGGAGCTCATTATTCGACCAGGTGTACCTCTCGAAGTCGCCTGCTCCATCACAGGCACTGATAACCCAAACCTGTACTGGTACCGTTGGACCCCAACAGACAGTTTCAAGCTGATGTTCACTTCTTTGGGTAAAGGGCAAGTGGATCCAGAAAGCGTGGGGGATTTTTCGTCTAACAGACCAGGGTCTCTTCAGATACTGCTGGAGTCAAAGAGTGTAACCCAAATTGGTTCTGCTGTTTGGTATTGTGCAGCCAGTCCCCACAGTATGACAGACTATAGTGAAAGCTGTACAAAAACTCTAATGTTTACACCTGGTATTAGGATGGTTTCGGTCGATCAGATCATATAGACATTGGTGACATGTTCCCTTTTACACCTGGTGTTTAAATCTGTCTCTTTTGTCCACTTCTTTCCTGTGGAGTCTATGGTCAGGGAAATAATAAGTTTTTTTTCTACTTTTGATCTAATGGATGAAATAAGCTCACTCAATTTACATATGAACGCTATGGAGTCAGAAAAACATACAGAGACCATTAGCTTTAGTTTCTGCCGAACGCTGTGAGTGTGTGTTAGAATCAGGAATGGTGAGAGAACATTGTTCTTGGTACGTTTTTGTCTTCAAACTACTGTAAAATTGGGTCTCCAGCTGACAAAGCTGGCTTGTTTATGCACTAAGCGGGGAGTAGACGGTCTTGTGTGGGTGTTCAAACACATTCGACCACATGAGCGTTTACTCTGGAAGTGGTCAAAAGTAGACAAGCTCAAAACAGATCCTGTTTACACCTGTATTTAGCGTCTTCAACTTGTCATCTGATTGACCATCTCATTACCAGGTGTAAACAGGCCCTCAGAGACACAAACCACTTTTTGAGTTAATTTAAATGAAATGTGAGGCCTTGTCCTAAATTGCTTGATAGAAAGAGGTGACACATCCATATTTTTTCTTTCAACTTTATTTTGATGCTCCACAACTAACCCTAATCCTAAAGAACACTAACAGTCTACTATTACTCCAATGAGAGTTGACGGTACACTCTCAGAAAAAAAAGGTACAAAAGCTGTCACTGGGGCTGTACCTTTTCAAAAGGTAAACTTTTATACATTTTAGGTGTTAATATGTACGTTTTAGGTGTTAATATGTACATTTTAGGTTTTAATATGTACGTTTCAGGTGCTAATATGTACATTTTAAGTGTTAATATGTACATTTTAAGTGTTAATATGTACATTTTAGGGACTAATATGTGAATTTTAGGTGTTAATATGTACATTTTAGGTACTAATATGTACATTTTAGGCGTTTATGTGTTAATATGTACATTTTAGGTACTAATATGTACATTTTAGGTGTTAATATGTACATTTTAGGTACTAATGTGTACATTTTAGGTGTAAATATGTACATTTTAGGTACTAATATGTGAATTTTAGGTGTTAATATGTACATTTTAGGTACTAATATGTGAATTTTAGGTGTTAATATGTACATTTTAGGTACTAATATGTACATTTTAGGCGTTTATGTGTTAATATGTACATTTTAGGTGTTAATATGTACATTTTAGGTACTAATGTGTACATTTTACTTGTTAATATGTACATTTAAGGTGCTAATATGGACCACTAAGGTAAGAAAGTGTACCATTTGAAAAGGTACAGCCCCAGTGACAACTTTTGTACCTTTTGTTTTTCTGAGAGTGTACAGTAAAATGTAACTCTTGTGTTTAGATTCACTGCACTGTTTTTATATTTGGGGTTCCAGAGAACCAAATGATTTATGTGTTAAAAAACGTATTTATGTTTCTCCAAGCTAATCAAACCCCATTTGAATTATATCATTATAAGCATTAGCCCTCTATAATGTAGGCTTAGTCTTTACAGTAAAAATTACAGTAAGCACACCCAAATATGCAACTGCTACATCTAGCATGTGAAAATATATCGCATTTTATCATGTATATAATTGATTGGAAACGTAATTCATTTTAAACATATAAGATTAGTGGTTAAATAAAAGACTTTCTAAACCACTAGTGTTTTCAAAAACAATTTCATTTTACTTAGACTGAGCAAGTGATTCATAATGCATGAGTTAAACATGTTCCAGAAAGACAATACAGATGTGTGTGTGGGTGTGTGTGGTGCAGACTGTTGAGACAACAACCTGCAAACACGCTCCTCGAATGAATCAGCTCTGCACCAGTTTCCAACAGCTCTTCTCTTTTTGATTGCTTTAGTGTGCAGACGTGCATGAGCTTTGAGGCTTGTGTGGAGCGGCAGGTGTGTGAAAGATGCAGGATTGAGCATGAACATCTCGAGAACGCTCTGACCACATCCTCCTCGACACCTTCACACTGCTCGAAAAGAGCTGACACCACATCCTGCTTTCAACTACAGCAACCTGATGCTTACACTCATCATTCAAACTACAATCCATCTGAGGTGAATAAGTAAAAAACACCAATCATTTTGGTAACACTTCATTTCGATGGTCCACTATAGACATTTTACTAACTATAAGTAACTTTGCAAATACATGTCAACTCACTACAGTATTAGTAGACTCTAACACTTTATTTTGATGCTCCAAACAGACATTCTGCCTATTATAAGTAACTTTGCAACTACATGTCAACTTATTCTCCTAACCCGAACCCTAACAGTTTACTCTAATGACAGTAAGTTGACATGCAGTGGCAAAGTTACTTATAGTAAGTTGAATGTTTAAAGTTAAGCATTGAAATAAAGTGTAACCATATTTTTTTTTGTTGTTGTTGCTCATTGTTCTCAGTACTTTTGAATTGTTCCAGGAATTATAGAAAAGCTTTAGAGCTGACATTATGAGAAATACCAAAGTCACGCGTCATATAAAGTCTTATTTTCTTATTGCAGTGGAAGATTCTTACATAACTGAGATAACAACCCACACTTTCCAAAAGCACATATTTTCCACTGCTCAAAACATATGCAAATATCCTGTTTCTCATAAAATCAAAGGTCTAAAAGTCAAATACTGGATGTTTTAGTCATCACAGAAAGTAGAATCTAAAACTTCCATTGCATTCTGCCTACACTCTCAGAAAAAAGGTACAAAAGCTGTCACTGGGGCTGTACCTTTTCAAAAGGTACACTTTTGTACCTGAAGGCTGCATATTGGTACCTTACTGGTACATATTAGAACCTAAAATGTACATATTAACACTTAAAATGTACATATTAACACTTAAAATGTACATATTAGCACCTAAAATATACATATTACCACCTTAAATGTACTTATTAGCACCTAAAATGTACATAGTAGCACCTAAAATATAGATATTAACACTTAAAATGTACATATTAGCACCTAAAATGGACAACAGTTTACCTTTTGAAAAGGTACAGCCCCAGTGACAGCTTTTGTACCTTTTTTCTGAGAGTGTAATATGTTTCTCATTGTTAGTTTATTCATTCCTGATTAATGTTTCAGGCTATTATGTGCAATAAACAGGATACTCATGGTTTAGAAGGTATTTGTCAAATTTTATTATTCAAAATTAGAAAAATAATATCATATGTGTGATTTGAAGTCTCACAAAACTACATGAATCTAGTCAAAAAAATACACAGAAATCTTACACATTTCGTAAATATTAACGAAAGACACTTCTGGCCTCTTAAGGAGAAGGTTCATGATCAGTCCTCAGGAAATGGTTTCATCTTCATTGAAAACTGTAGGGGAAAATAAATTCATATTAACTTAAGGGATCATAACGTATTTGTCCTTCATTTACACAACAGTTTTCAACTTCACATGAGTTTTTAAACGATAACAGTATTTGGGGGCCTGAACATACTAACTTTTAAAAACGTGTTTCAAATTGCACATTTTTGAAAACGATACCATTATCGTTTCGGTGTAAACTACAAAAATGTGAATTTGTGAAAACGGTGACATCATGCACATGCAAACGTGTTCAGTCTATAGGCGCAGAGTTTTTCTTGTTTTACAAATGGACATCGGCAACTGATGCAGTATGTATACAGCGTTTGTAATCATTTTCACGGATCCGTGTTGTCGTGTAAACATTCCCCAAGTCATATATATCGTTATACTCTAAATACATATTTGACGTGTGAGATGTGCATTATGTTTATCAGGGATTACCTTGAGTTTCCACACTACACCAGACACGATCAGCGCATACATCAGGCTCTTGCAGAGGAACACGACGTAGCCAAAGCCAAGCACTTTCAATCCCTTTGGCTTCTCTAAAAAAACACCAATACACAAACAGGTCTGATATATGGAAGTCATGAATGCAATGACTGTCAAATTAGACAATTAAATATCAATAATCACTGTTGTTTCAGACACGCCTAGCAATCTCAATAAGGCTGTCAAACATCTGCAAAGAATATATTTCACAAAACTTTCCTTGCATTTTTTTGCAATTACATCCAAGCATTACAGTCTAATAATCTGTCTATGTGAATTTAGTGCATTTTCACAAACCTTTTTGACCATTTATGGTGTTTGTGACATTGACATAATCTTCTCCGTTGTAGAATCGAACAGTACAGGTGAAATGACTTCTGGGATCCATCCAGAGTATTTTAGAGACTTTGATTCTGCTGCTGATATGGTACAGTAATGTGGTATTGTCCTGATGGGCTGTGGGGTCGGTTGATACACTGTCCTCTCTCTCTTCGCCGTTCACTTTCCAGGTCAAACTCACATGATCGGGATAGAAGCCCGTCGCCACACACACTAACGTCAGATTTGAATCTGTCTCTGTCTTGGAACAGATTTCTCTTGGAGATGGTGGAAGGATCTTGACTTTAGGTAGAGTGATGTTTGTAGCTTGAGAAGGAGAGCACATATGTTTGATTACACTTTATTTGAAGGTGTCTGTTACAGTGTAATATATTTACTGAGTAATATTAATAAACTACATGTACGGGTAGTGAGTGTGGTTTAGGGTTAGTTGCATGTAATTGTGCACGATTTATGGGAATTACTATAGTAGCTACATGCACTCTTAGAAAAGAGGGTTCATTGGGGTTCTATAGGATTCTTTACTCAACTCCAAAGAACCTTTTATTCTAAAAAAGGTTCTATAATGACAAGAAAGAACCCTTTTATAGGCTATTATTCATTCATATATTACTTTGTACATTATTCTGCAACATTTTGTATTTTTAATTCAATTATTGTTTATTAAACTGTTGTAGTAACTTAATAATCATGCTGATTTTTGGAGGAGAAAAAACTGAAATGGCACTCTTCGTGTGATATTGATTAACTACATAAAATGATATAAATATGCACATTTTCTAACCCCCATATCTTGAATTTTGTGATCACTCACATGCTTTCATAAATACATTTTAGTGTCTTGATGTTTGTCAATAATATGAAATATTTAATCCGGAAAGAACAAAATAAATGATAATGAATGAACCCAAAAGGTTCCATAAAAAACCTAAGAACCTCAAAAGGATTCTGTATATAGAACCTTTTAGGGGTTCCAAATACGTAGCACTGATAGAACCTTTTAAGGTTCTATATAGAACTTTTTCTTCTAAGAGTGTGTAACGTGTAACAAGGACACTAAAATAAAGTGTTTATTATACAACAATTACTTTGTTATTACTACTGTCATTATTAAATGGCTTAATGAAATGCTTGATTTTAATTGATCATTCGCAGCATGGTCATTTCTTTTTTGTACAGTGATTTTTAATGGCAACACACTTTCATGTATTTTGTGATTTATGCTAATACGTTATGTGGATGATATACTGTATCTCTCCCAAAGGAAAATGCACATAGCAACTTACTGTATGTAGCTGCTTTGTTTAAACATACATTTAAATATTTCGATGATTTCATTTGTATTCGGTTTTCGATAGTTTTATGCTTTTACCACCTGTAGTTTATTCTAACCCCTTTTATTATTACAATAGTATTATTTCAGTGGAAATATTCCCCAATTTCCTGATTGAAAAAGATATAATTAATATATATATTTTTTTAATAATAAAAAACACTTATCATTCTTAAGTTAGTTAAATATATTTAACCTTTTAAATATATAAAATAAAAGAATATCTAGTGGCCTGTATGGTCCTCGCTATCTATTTTTCATTTGCATGTTTTGTGCAATATGACCCATCTTAATGCATTTCACAAGTCAAACAAGTGCATTTATTGAATTATGTCTACTTAAGTAATATTTCAGAGTTTAAAAATGTAAACTTACCCAGAACCGTCAGTTTAGTCCCTTCTCCAAATTCTAGTTTCGCGTAGCTAGTACACGATGATTTATCTTGTTACCTAAACCTCAACAACTAGCAGCTAATAATGGGCAGTGGTACACTGGTTTTGGGGCCCCTTTTCAGTTGGAGACCATGAAAGACATAGGGGCCTCCCAGCTGTTACCCAGAGAGGCCTCGTGTGAGCTGAAACACTGAAATGTATAGTTTATCTATAAAAATAAAACTAATGAAAAAGTACATAGTGGCTTGATGCATAGGTAAATGTCACTGGATTGAATAACATTTCAAACCAAATACAGTACCACTGCAGGGAAATTATGCTAGAGAATTTTTTAGAAGTAACCTCACTGTTATATAAAAAAATTGCAATTAATTTAACCAACTGGGCATCTTTGGTGGATATGAAGTCAGTTGCACTTAAGTTCACACAGGAACCCCATAGAGTAACCACAGATGTAGTACATCATATTAACTAAGAACATGTTGTATTTATGTTTGACAGTCACAAACTGTCCCAAATGCATTGTATGGAACGTATAGGATGTACAGAGAAAAACCTTCACAAAGTGTCATTCATTTTCATTCAGGTTATATAGAACAACTCTCCTTCAGCTAATAACTTAAAGACGCTGGAACATGTTTCTTCAAGGCAAGAGTTGAAGTGGGATCACTAAAAGTTATGTATTGTTGATAACAATATTCAGTGATCAGTAACAGTGTATTCACTAGAGGGCTTCTCATAGAGCACATACTGTAGGATGCAGAATAAAACAACCACGTATATATTTGTTATCATGATTCAAAGGAATTTTCAAGGTATATACAATTTATTTGTGTTTCCTGAGAATCAGACTTATGACATCTACTCTATCAGTTTGGCTACAGCAAAAAAACAAAAAACAAAAAAAAAACAATGTCCCTATGAAATAACTGAGAATTTTCGTTGGGGATTATATCCATGCATCAAATATTTTATTTGTATAATGTATAGGCTACAAATTAAAATAAAAACAAAATACATTAAATCTCAATGTGTAAAATAATGAATTATTTTGACTTCTGTTGAATCTTTTTCTATAGTAGTATGCTATTGCAAGGAAACAAGCAAAACAACAACAAAAAATATCAATACAGCAACTAGATTTTATGATTAATCTGATCTTAAGCATCTTCACACTTGATAAATATTCAGAAAAGAGCAGAAAGAGAGATAAATCTAGAGAGAATCTTCAGTCATATGTACAGCATCTCTTCTCCTGGATGAAGTGAATGGAGAGAGTTCTCTGGTAACTTCATCAAATCAGACATGTTCAGTTCTTTCACTTTCCTTGTGAACCCTGTAAAACAAATATCAGACAAACATTAAGACATTCAGAAAAGAAATTCTACTATCCATCCATCTATCTATCCATCTATCTATCTATCTATCTATCTATCTATCTATCTATCTATCTATCTATCTATCTATCTATCTATCTATCTATCTATCTATCTATCTATCTATCTATCTATCTATCTATCTATCTATCTATCTATCTATCTATCTATCTATCTATCTGTCTGTCTGTCTGTCTGTCTGTTGGTCTATCTGTCGGTCTGTCTCTGTCTGTCTCTGTCTGACTGTCTATCTGTCTCTGTCCATCTGTCTGTCTGTCTCTGTCTGTCTGTCGTAAGAATTAATAAGAAATACACTTGTAACCAAACACAACAAGATACTTATGATAAACATCCTTCAAAATTCTTATGTTTGAAATTATTAAAACTGATTAAAATTTAATCAGCCTTACCTTTCTCCATACAAACACAAAGATGACGAGGCCATACAGTCCACTCTTAGCAATGACCACGCCATATGAGAGCTTAACCACCTGTGATGATTTTACATAGTCCTCTGGAGATGAAGAGAACAGATTATAACATATTATATTTCTACAGCATTACTGTTCAACTTTTGACCTCTGACCCTAATTCCTAATATTCATCTCTTGCACATAGTCATACAAATAGACAAGAGTAAATCCTTACCTTTGGAATAATCACTCCCTGCAATTAGATGATACATAATTAGAACACCAAAATATTAAAATATGTAAAAAATATTATTTTCACAGTCAGCAGTTGCTTTTTCTTCTCTTTTTTATCTATTTATCTCTAATGCATACCTTTAATTCCTTTGACCGTATTTGTATTCCAAACTTCCAGAGTCATGTTTCCATTGTAGAAGTTCAGTTTACAGCGGAATTCGTTTTCTTCGTTGTTCCATTCTTGCTTACGGACTTTAAGTCTGCTGGATATGGAGAACGTTCCTTTTGTTTCGTTTTTGGTGGCATGAGGGTCTGTCGCTACTCCTTCGGTTCTTTCTTTGCCTCCAACCATCCATGTTATGCTCACATGGTCTGGGTAGAAGTCCTTGGCCGAACACACAAGAGTGACCTTCTTCTTACAGCTCTCCTTTTCAGACGGTTGTATAATTCTGACATTTATGTCTTCTTCTGAACTAATGTCATGATCTGTAAAATAATAGACAGTCAGAAATTATTCATATTTACATGAACAACTTTGAAACTGAAAAATTCTTAATTATTATAAAGGTCCCCTTGTACAGTGTAATTATATAAGTAGAGTTAAAATAATTAACTACATGTATTTACTATAGGGTTAGGATTTGGTTTAGGGTTAGCTGCATGAAATTATGCTCAATCTATAGTTATTTTTATAGAAACCACATGTAACGTGTAACAAGGACACGTAAAATAAAGTGTTACCGGGAAGTGTCAACAGTGTAATTATAAATGTAATTACAGAAATGTTAGATGTAATACATGCAGGTTTTATAATAATTTATGTAATGCAAAACCATATAAGTGCATTGTATTACATTATTAATGTAAATGATAGAAATATAAAGAAACTTAATAGAAAGTGGAACCCAAAAATCTGCAAGAACATTAAGAGTAAAAAAAAAATGTCCCATATTACACTCAACTCAGGAAGCTGGTAAATAATTAGGTTGCTTTTCTACAGTTTATGTGCTCAATTGCTTCTTCAACAGGAAAACCACAAGCAACTTTACATGAAGCCGCTGTATCTGCACTCACCAGCTCACAGTTATACACAGCTCTTATCTTACTTTATACAGCATACAGAATAGCAACAATACTACAGGTTTATAAAAACACAGATTCATATGGTGCACAAACTTTAAGAGTTTCCAATGAACAGGTACAACTGTAACTCTAAAAAATGCTGGGTTGTCTTAACCCAATTTTGGGTCAAATATGGACAAACCCAGCCAATGGGTTACATTTTTAAATGACATTTTTAACCCAATGTTTGAGTTTGTCCATATTTCACCCACAATTGTGTTAAATATATATATCATCTATATATTCCGTTATTTGCACTTCCTGCAAAAACACTTCACAATTATCCCAAACTAACTCAGAAAACGTACTTTCTTACCCAGAACAGTGAGTTTGGTCCCCTGACCAAAGTATGCAGGTCTGTTGTTCACACTGCTCAACAGCTACAGTAAAACTCTTCCTATCACTTTAATCTCACTGCATTCGATGAGTTAATATACACTCAATGAAGATTTTAAACACGGCTGTAGACCAACATTGATTTTCAATCCCATATGCAATAAATAATTATCAAATATTTTCCATTTCACCAAATTTAAACATTATGAAGGATTTGAGTTAGGCAAATAGCTTGTTTATTATCAGACTCAACACTGCTTTTAGCACAGAGTATTCTCAGAAGAAGAACAGTGATGACTTTCTACTCTTATCCTAGGATTTCTAATTCATATCAACACTCCTCATTCACTAATTACACTATTATTACCAACACATTCACAAAACATACTACAAGAGACAAGCAAACAAACATATTCTTACCTAAAACCGTAAGTTTGGTGCCATTGCCAAAGTATGCAGGGCTGTTGTAGTTCACACTGATTCTAAGCTGCAGTTAAAACCTCAGCTATAGAGATCATGACACTTATCTAACTCTTTTCTTCTAGTTAACATCATCGTTCTAGATATACTACTGAAATCATTTAAGGTCTTAAAGATCATAATGTTCAGTTTACTCACCTAGAACTGTTAGTTTAGTACCATTGCCAAAGTATGCAGGACTGGTGTTGGTCACACTGATTTCATGCTACTGTTAAAACCTCAGCTACAGTGTAGATTATGTGAATATTACCACTTGTCCCACTACTTATTTATTTATTTATTTTTAAAGATGAGTTAACCAGTCCAATTCTTCTGATGCAACATAATTTTAAATAGACTGATAAAACCCCTTAATAACCAATTTACTCACCTAGAACTGTTAGTTTAGTGCCATTGCCAAAGTATGCAGGATTGCCATAGTTCACACTGATTTAATGCTACTGTTAAAACCTCAGCTATGGTGTTGTAGATTATGTGAACATTGCCACTTGTGCCTCTATTTATTTCTTAAAGATGAGTTAACTAGTCCAATTCTTCTAATGCAACATCATTTTAGATATACTGATAAAACCCCTTTCAAATAGCAGAATACATTTACTCACCTAGAACTGTTAGTTTAGTGCCATTGCCAAAGTGTGCAGGACTGAGATTGTTCACAATGATTCTAAGCTACAGTTAAAACCTCACCTATAGAGATCATGTGTACATTGACTAACTTATCCTACTTCTAACTTAATTTTTACAGCTATTCCAGTTCTTCTGATGCATTCTTGTGAATACCAAAATTAGATATTCTATTAAAATATTAGCTTATAAATATCACACATGACACTAAATTTACTCACCTAGAACTGTTAGTTTGGTGCCATTGCCAAAGTATGCAGGATTGGCATTGTTCACACTGATTTCATGCTACTGTTAAAACCTCAGCTATGGTGTAGATTATGTGAACATTGCCACTTGTGCCTCTATTTATTCTTAAAGATGAGTTAACTAGTCCAATTCTTCTAATGCAACATCATTTTAGATATCCTGATAAAACCCATAATACATTTACTCACCTAGAACTGTTAGTTTGGTGCCATTGCCAAAGTATGCAGGGCTGCGATTGTTCACAATGATTTTAAGCTACAGTTAAAACTTCAACTTTACTTCAGAGCATGTGAACATTGCCACTGATCCCAGTATCATCTAACTACATTTTTAAAGACAACTTACTTAAGTATTAGAAGTAAATAATACTCAAACTACTCACCTAAAACCGTGAGTTTAGTGCCATTGCCAAAGTATGCAGGATATCCAGAGTTCACACTGATACTAAGCAACAGTTAAAACCTCATCTACAACTACTTATCCCACTATATCTAACCTAATTTTAAAGACATAATGAGATTCTCGAGAACTGCCAGTTCATCCAATATTAACTCATCAAATATAGCAATTTTACTTTTGTTAATGAAATACAAAAGTTTCAAAAGAATGATGTTTCTTACCCAGTACTGTTAACTTTGTTCCATTGCCGAAATAAGCCTGAGCAACACCAGTGTCACAGCACACATGTGCACTAACAAATTTACCAAAGACACCAAATGCTAAAGACCTAGCACCTGTTTTTACTCGAACGCCTTGTGATTATCATAACAATATCTATATAGAACAAATACTTGGAGTAATTTACCATATAGTCAATTGTACATTCAAGACATATAAAACAATGCAATTTTAGACCTGAACATTTTAGACCTGAACAACACTGGATATGTTACTAAATATCCTTGTAAGTTAAGTTGTAAGTTATAAATATTAAGGAAATGACTCACCTAGGACTGTAAGTTTAGTACCTTCGCCAAAGTGTGCTTCACTACCCATGTTCACACTGATTCCATGCAACTGTTAATACCTCAGATAGTCAAAATCATGCTTACCTCAATCTAACTTCATTTTAAAGACTGATTATCTCAAGATCACTGAGATCTATTCATTTCAATGTAGGATAACACATTTGACACAAGTCCATTGGGATTTAACGTTTAGCATCGACATGTCAATGGAAATCAATGAAGCAGAAAGAACATTTTTTTCAATATTCTCTTACCCAGAACAGTGAGCTTTGTTCCATTGCCAAAATAAGCTGGATAAGTACCAGAGTCACAGCACTCACGTGCACTAACAAATTCACTCAGGGCGGCAAATGCAAGTTCGGTTTAAACTTAAATGCCTCATGAATGCAACTCGACTACATCAATCAAATTTACTGCAATTAGTGTGCTCATTTAATACACAAACAGCATCATTTTAAAGATTCATCATTCAAGATATCAAAGTCAGTAAATGCCTAAACATCACATAGCTACATTTCTGTGATATCCTGAGAAGTGTTATGTGAATTTACTCACCTAGAACTGTAAGTTTAGTGCCATTACCAAAGTATGCAGGATTGCCAGTGTTCACACTGATACTAAGCTACAGTTAAAACCTCAAGCTATCAAGATCATGTAGACTTTGCTACTCGTATAATCCGAGATAATTATAAAAATAGATTTTTCTTACCCAGAACAGTTAACTTTGTTCCATTGCCAAAGTAAGCTTGATAACCACCAGAGTCACAGCACTCATGTGCACTAACAAATTCACTCAGGGCGGCAAATGCAAGTTCAGTTTTGACTTAAATACCTCATGAATGCAACTCGACTACATCAATCAAATTTACTGCTCATTTAATAAATATTATAAATATAATACACGAACAGCATAATTTAGAAGATGCATTGGTTATCAAAGTCAGTAATTCCCTAAACATCTCATAGCTACATTTCTGTGACATCTTGAGAAGTGTTTATATATCACATTACTCACCTAGAACTGTAAGTTTAGTGCCATTACCAAAGAATGCAGGATCGCCAGTGTTCACACTGATACTAAGCTACAATTAAAACCTCAAGCTATCAATGTAGACTTTGCCACTCGTATAATCCGAGAAAATTAAAAAAATAGATTTTTCTTACCTAACACAGTTAACTTGGTTCCATTGCCAAAGTAAGCCTGAGAAGCACCAGAGTCACAGTGCACATGTGCACTAACAAATTTACTCAAGAGTCACTCAAGCAATATTATTGTGAAGATTCTACTCAATAAATAACATTTCTTTAGGCCTGAACATCAAGATACATGACTTACTCACCTAAAACTGTAAGTTTAGTGCCTTTTCCAAAGTATGCAGGGTCGTATTGATCACACTGATTCTATGCTACAGATGAAACCTCCCCAAGCTATTTCTTACATATTTCACTGTTTTTTCCTTCAGTAATTGGAGAACACCAACACTTCTCAGAATGGTATTACAATTGACAATCAAATCTAGATTGAGCTACAAGGTATTTCTAACATTTACAGTACAACATTTTTTGCAAATATCAGCTTTTAGTTTTATGTCTTACCAAGAACTGTTAACTTTGTTCCATTGCCGAAGAAAGCTTGTCGACCTCCACCAGAGTTACAGCACACATGTGCAATAATAAAATTACTCCGACTTTGTGGACTTAAGTCTAATCGTTGAAGCTTCAGAAATGCTACTTAGCCATTTTATCTACGCTTAATTGGGAAGAGGATTTTTTTTCTAATTTGACTTATTTTACAAATGATAAAATTACACAATTTTTCTTGAAGCCTCATGTCAAGGAGTCATCAAATACATTTTTTTCTCAGTTTTCTCACAATGTTAAAGCAAGCTAAGCAAAATTAGGTCAAAATATGTCTTACCCAGTACTGTGAGTTTGGTGCCAGAACCAAAGTATGCAGGGTTGTAGTTGTTCACACTGATTCTACGCTACAGACAAAACCTCCACTTCTCTTAATACCATCTACATGCCCTCACTAATTCCACAATAAAGAGCAAATTAACAATGAAGAGTTTTGGGGTTTTTGAAGAACCCTCAACATGCTTTAACTCTGATATATAGTAGAATTGATCAATGTCTACATACAAACAGCATTTTTGAATAGAAGCCTTGCATTTGATTAATCTCTGTCATTTAAAAAGTATGATGAGGTGTGTTTCTTACCAAGTACAGTTAACTTTGTTCCTTCGCCAAAATAAGCCTGAGCAGTAGTAGACACAGCATACGTATGCACTAATAAAATGTCTAGGATATGTGCCAGGTCTAATAGACTTATTATTCTCAAACTACCTAATAATACTTATCCAACAAATGCAGTCAAAAACGTCTCACCTGTTACTGTAAGTTTAGTTCCACTGCCGAAGTGTGCCGGACTGAACTGATTACACTGATGTCTAGCGACGGTAAAAAACTCCACTAACGATTTTATACTAACTGGCACAGGCGATAACATCGTCTATAAGGAACGACTTAACATAGAACATGATGAATAAAAAATGATACCAACACACTAGCTAACAATATTTAGCAAAATCTTGGTTACAAACAAATTCAAGCAGTCATAAGACACAATGAAGACTGATACTTTTTTGTTATCACACTTAGTATTTCTAGAAGATTTAAAGTTATAATTATTGTTTTTCTTACCTAAAACAGTGAGTTTGGTGCCGTTTCCAAAGTATGCTTGCGTGTTTGAGCACAGAGTATCAAGACTGTATCACTAACGTCTACCTTACGAAATCTTTCACCACTATATTATGCAATTGCCATTGGTAATTATATGTGTCCACATCATTGTCGTTTACATGTACTTACCTAAAACAGTCAATCTTGTCCCTTGGCCAAAGATAGCCTGGCTGGATCCAAAGCACAGCATGCAGGCTCACTGATAAAATTACTTTGACCTACATTTACTAAACTCATATGTGGTTCTTTTTGATTGTATTGTGATATATTTGTGCTATCTGTTTGCTCACATGACACATTTTATGTTTTCAATTAGGTTAGTTTAAATGATAAACTCATAAAACAGTTGCTCAGTATATTTGTAAAAGTTTCCAATTGAATCTGAAGTAGTACTCACCAAGAACGGTTAATTTAGTGCCGCCACCAAAATAGGCTTGATAATTGGCACAGCATACGAATGTCATGTCAAAAACAGTCTCAAATTGAACACTGTATTTTATTCGAAATTTCAGCATAGTCTTCAATGACAATCATCAGCCACTTAGTTTTGGAATTTAGTATTCCCCACCTAGGCCTATATATTAGCATAGTTAAAAGTGTTTCTTACCAAGAACTGTTAATTTTGTTCCATCTCCAAAGTGAGCTTGATAAGCATTGTCACAGTGAGATATTTATGGCACAAACAATGTTATGAATAATTCAAGCGTTTTTGAATGGGCCTCTACTGATTCCATAGTTAAGTCATAATAAATATATGAAAGGACTATAAAAGTCTATTGAACACTGGTCAGTTAGAGCATTTAAACAATTAAATCAAGCAAACTTACCTAAAACGGTCAGTTTTGTTCCATTTCCAAAGTATGCTTGTGAGCCAGAGGCACAATGTAAACCAGTACTCCGAAATTTGCATTAGAAATCCTCTTTTTCCATGGCCATATAAAAATCCAATAATTCCATAATAGTTGTCTCCCAGAAGGCTGTTCCATGTAAAAGCATGTAAATGTGAAATATATATATTTCAGCAAAAATATCAAGTCCAACCTCAAGAACACGTACATGTATTTATCGCCAATAAAATGTGATCAAATTCATTACAATGTGGGAATAACTCAAAATCTTATTGCTCCCTCTGTCCTAGAGATCATTAGCCAATATTTGCAGTTGAAATCCAATAGAAATCTGTGCAATGTTTGTATTCTCTGTCTCTGTGTAATTGACTGTACATGGCAGGAGGTTTTTGTACAGCGGCTCTATGGGATTGTATCACCGTGGCCCCCTGTCCCCACGGTGCTAAAACATTAGACAAAAACGAAAAATTCTCTTGCTCTCTTTCCCCCCAAACTCCCCCCGTCCCCCATTTTATCTTTATTTTTCATCATTCTCTTGCACATGTTCTTTTTTTATGTCTATCTGTATAAAGTCTATGTTGCTATTTCTGTGATTACTGAGAATTTGGGCAGGTGCAGATTCCTCCTCCTAAAAATGTCTCAATGACAGTTTGCCGACCCCTCCCACATCCTCATGTAACTATCATCAGTGTGGGAACAATACAACAACTGGATCTGTTCAATGGTTTGAGTCTGAAAGGCACTTCGGTGACACTTTACAATCACATTGGGAGAAGTGCGAACCTGCAACTGATACCTTAAAGAGCTATTGTTACTTGATTCAACTCATAAAATCTATTTTGTTTGCATATATTAGTTTTGGTTGATATTTAACAAACAATTTTTATTTGAGGTAAACCAGTAACTGTAATTTGATGTAATAATTTTGCAGCTACCTTTTTAATTTAAAAAAAAAATATTTGGGTGGATGGATGGATGGATGGATGGATGGATGGATGGATGGTTGGGTGGGTGGGTGGGTGGATGGATTGATGGATAAATGGGTGGGTGGATGGATGGATGGACAGGTGGATGGATGGGTGGGTGGATGGGTGGATGAATAGATGGATGGGTGGGTGGGTGGATGGGTGGGTGGATGGATGGGTGGGTGGGTGGATGGATGGGTGGATGATGGATGGATGGATGAGTGGGTGGATGGGTGGATGGTTGGGTGGGTGGGTGGATGGATGGATGGGTGGGTGGGTGGGTGGGTGGGTGGATGATGCTTGTTAACTAATTAAATAAAGTTAAAAATGGGACCTTATTATAAAGTGTATTGAAAGTATATAAAGAATTGTCTTTCATACACATGTTACATATGCTAACTATAATAGAACACACAAGAACAGATAATCCAATAGCAGTGGTTTATTTAAGGGCAATCCACAATCGTAGTCAGTCAGGCAAGGGTCAAAATCAAACAAAGCAGTCCAAAACAAGAAACAAAAACCAATTTGAAACAGACCTCAGAAGAATAGCGTGACACAACAACAACTCCATACACATACTGACACAGACAGGCAATATATACACAGATCTAACAAGACTAACAATGAACAGCTGGGAACAATGATTACGAGGAAAGCTGAGTGCAA